AAACTTCCCAAACCTAAAGAAGGAAAAAGATATTCAGGTACAGGAAGCACAAAAGGTCCCAAACAGAATAAACCCAAAGAGACCCACACCAAGACATATCATAATTAAAATGGCAGAGTTTAGGATTCTAAAGGCAGCAAGAAAAAAAGTTATTAAAAAAAAAACCATAAAGCTATCAACTGATTTCTCTGCAGAAACTCTGCAGGCCAGAAGAAAGTGGCATGATATATTCAAAGTTCTGAAAGAGAAAAACCTGCAAACTAGGATACTCTACCCAGCAAGATTAACATTTAGAACAGAATAAGAGAGAAGAATTTCTCAGACAGGCAAACAGTAAAAGAATTCATCAATACCAAATCTAACCTAAAAGAAATGTTGAAAGGTCTTCTCTAAATGGAAAGAATTCACAGAAAAGGGAAATTCCCAATAGGAAGAGCAAATATATAGTTAAGGATTGAAGATCACTTAAATAAGCCAGTACATAGGTTAAAAAACAATGAAAAATTTTTAAAGAGATTATAACTACAATAAACAGTAAAAGGATAAACATGAAGATGTAAAGTAAGACATAGAAATCACAAAATATGGGTGAGGAGAGTATAAAAATATAGATCTTTTAGAATGTGTTTGAATTTAAATGACTATTAGTTTAAAACAGGTAGATATATTTCTCAGCCAACATAATTGACCTCCATGATAACCACAAACAAAAAACACAATAGTGTCACAAAAACAAAAAAGAAAGGAATCAAGCATATTATAAAAGAAAATCATTAAACCACAAAAAAGAAAAACAAGAACTAAAAAAAATAACTGGAGAACAAGGATTAAAAATGGCAATAAGTATACACCAATCAATAATTACTTTAAATGTTGATGGACAAAATGCTCTAATCAAGAAACAGTGCAGACTGGATTTAAAAAACAAAAACCTGCAATATGCTGCCTAAAAAGAAACTCACTTTAGGGCAAAAGACACACACAGACTAAAAATAAGGGGATCAAATAGAAACAACAAAGTGGGATAGCAGTACTCATATCAGACAAATTTACAAGTTGGATTCATTCCAGGATCACAAGACTGGTTTAGCAATATACAAATCAGTGTGATATACCACATTAACAAAAGGAAAGACAAAAACCATGTGATCATCTCAATAGATGCAGAAAAAGCATTTGACAAAATTCAACATCCATTCATGATAAAACTTCTACCAAAGTGTGTACAGAGGGAACATATCTCAACATTATAAAGGTCATTTACAACAAATCCACAGCCAACACAATACTCGGTGCTGAAAAAATGAAAACCTTCCCACTAAGTTCAGGAACAAGACAAGGATGCTCACTCTCACCACTTTTCAATATCAAATTTGAAGTCCTAGGCACAGCAATCAGACAAGAAAAATAAAAGTATCCAGATTTGAAGGGGAGAGGTAAAATTGTCACTGCAGAGAACCCAAAGTCTCTAAACAAAAACTACTAGAATAAATAAATTCAGCAAGGTAATAGGATAAAAAAATGATACAACAGAAGTCTGTTGCATTTCTTTACACTAATAGTGAAATGCCAGAAAGTTAAAAAACTATCCTGTTTAAAATCTCATCTAAAAAATAACATACCTAGGACCAAACATACAAGGAGGTGAAAGACCTATATGCAGGAATGTATAAAACATTGACAAAGGAAATTCAAGATAACTCAGGAAATGGGAAGATATCCTGTGCTCTTGGATTGGAAGAATATTGTTAAAATGGCCATATTACCCAAAGAAATCTACAGATTTAATGTGTTCCCTATCAAAATACCCATGATACTTTTCACAGAAGTAGCATAATCCTAAAATTGATATGAAACAACAAAACACCCAGAATTGCTAAAGCAGTTCTGAGAAAAAAGAACAAAGTTGGAGGTGCAACCCCTTCCAGACTTCAGACAATACTACAAAGCTACAGTAATCAAAACAAACAAAACAGATTTACCAATCAATGGAACAAGATAGACCAGAAATAAGCCCATGCACCTGTGGTCAATTAATCGGTGATAAAAGAGGCAAGAATATACAATGGAGAAAAAAAAAAGTCTCTTCAACAAGTGGTGTTGGGAAAGCTAGACAGCTACATGTAAATCAATGAAATTAGAACATTCCCCCACACCATATACATAAAATGGTTTAAAGACTTTAAGACAAGTGAACATAGTAAAAACATTCTTTGACATAAATCATAGCAATGTTTCCCAAGGCCAAAGAAATAAAAGCAAAATTTAATCAATCGGAACTAATCAAACTTAAAAGCTTTTGCACAAGCAAAGGAAACTGTCAACAAAACAAAAAGAACCTACAAAATGGGAGAAAATGTTTGAAATGATTTGACCAACTAGGGGTTAACATCCAATATAAACAGCTGGTACAACTCAATATAGAAAAACAAACAACCCAATCAAAAAGTGGGCAGAAGACTTAAAGAGACACTTTTCCAAAGAAGACATACAGATGGCCAACAGGCACAAAAAGAGATAACTCATTTATTACAGAAATGCAAATCAAAGCTACAGGGTATCACCTCACACTAGTCAGAATGACTATCATCAAAAAGTCTATGAATAATATATGCTGGAGAGGCTGTGGAGGAAACCTTGTACACTGTTGATGGGACTTGTAAATTGGTGCATCCACTACGGAAGGATGGAGTTTCCTTGTAAAACTGAAAGGCTGCAGCTGCGAGCCATGAGCTACAGGGGGATTCATGACCTCTGGAGGAGAGGAGGCTTGATCCCTCGAAGATTTTGTGTAATAAAGTTTTATTAAAGTATAAAGGAATAGAGGAAGCTTCTGACACAGACTTCAGAACGAGTGCCCCCCTTGTTAGTTTTTAGCAAGGAGTTATATATCTGTTAGCAAGTTGCTGACCAGATAAAGAATCACCTCAAAACTGAGAGTTGCATCAGGCCCCTTTCCCACAATATGCATTTTGAGATAGCATTGGCACAAGGTGAGTCATACCCCACCTTAAAACAATTGACATGAATCTTAAAGAAAAGCAGGTTTCCAAGCAAATATATAGTTTCATTAACATAGCTTAACATTTCCATGAGTAAGACATTCTGGTTTGTGGAGCCATTACAGGTTCAAGGTTTGAGTCTTTAGGCCTAACCCACTTGAAGAAAGGCAGATTCCAAGGCAAATACATAACTCATTAACATAGCTTAAGAAAAATATTTCCATAAGAAAAATGTATTGATTAACTCAAGTTTTGAGAAAAGGCAGAACCAGGTGTTGCCATGACAACAAAGAATTGAAAAGAGACCTTTTAATTTTGCATAGAGAAAGAAAAAAAAAAAAGTCTGCCACTTGCAGTTTATTTCCTCTACTTGGGGACCCCTAGCCTTCCTACCTGTTACCCTCTCAAAACTAAAGCTACCATATGATCCTGCAATCCCACACCTGGGTATATATCCAGAAAAAATGAAAATTTTAATTCAAAAAGATACATGCACTCCAAAGTTCACAGTAGCAATTTACAATAGCCAAGACATAGAAGCAAACCATGTGCCCATCAACAGATAACTGGCTTAAGAAGATGGCTGAATAATATTTCATTCACACAATGGAATATTAACTAGCCATTGAAAAAGAGTGAAATATTGACACTTGCAGCAACATGGATGGACCTAGACAGTGTCATACTTAGTGAATTAAATCAGAGAAAAACAAATACTGTATGATATCACTTTTATGTGGCACCTAAAATAATACAAATGAAAGTATGCACAAAACAGAAACAGACTTACAGACACAGGAAACAAACTTATGGTTACCAAAGTAGAAAAAGAAGGGAGAAGGGGCAAATTAGGAGTATGAGGTTAACAGACACAAACTACTGTACATAAAATAGAAAGGCAACAAGTATTTACTGTACAGCACAGGAATCACACCCAGTATCTTATAGGAATCTATTACTATAAAGAAAAATAACATGAAAAAAAAGTTTTGGAGATTATGAACAATTAGCATTCAGTTAACAAATACCACTTTATATTCAGAATGTAATATTACAATGTAAATAAAAGCAGTTACTACTTAAACTGTCACTTTACCTCAACTGCCATAAAAATACAAATAAAACAGTCAAATATCAAATTTCTAAAAGTTCAGACATCATCTCTTTCAAAACCTTCTGATGCTCCTCACCACCAGACCAGGCAGTAAGTACCCTGCAGGATCTCCACCACCGTAGATCCCTGCAGCACTGAGGTGATCTGTTCGCCAGGTTAAACCCTATTTGGGCAGAGACTGGGCTACCTTTCTATCCCTCGGGCAAAGCTGGAGTGGGCACTAAGGAATCCCGTAGTCATCCTATCCTAATAGGCCATTGCCTGCCTCCCTATGACAACAGACACCCCCGCTTCAACATGTGAGTCTCTGGACCATGTTTTCAGATCCTGACCCAAGGGTGTTTTTATCCTCAACTAAAATTCAAGACCGTCATTGGAGGTGAGGTTTTTAAAATCTCAGTGGGCTTTTTAAACCATATGTCCAAGCACCAGGACCTCGATGCTTGTAACTGGCGTGTGCTGCACAGGCCGCATGCAGTTTCCCAGTATCTCCACCACAAGCGCCTTGGCTGCTCAAGCCCTTGCTCCTCTAGTCCCACCTCACCCATAAGGTGCAGGCTGGGGTCAGACACCCTGAGGAGTGCGTCCCCTGGCCTGTGCACTCAAGAGGCCACCAGGTGCTCGGCTCAGATGTCATCTTCTCACAGAGGGTTCCCCTGACCACCTGACAGAAAAGAATAATAATCTGTCAGTTACTTCCACCCTCTTCTGTTGCTTCATTTTCTTCACCGAGTTCATACTGTGTGAATCCCAATTGTGACTTCCATACCTTTCCTATAACATTGTATTCACAATAAAGGTGATTTTTAAAAAATTTTTAGCACAGTTTGATGGAAAGTTAACTTTTCCTCAGTATATCACTTTTTCTCTTTTTATTCTTAAAGAAGGATTCTCTGGATCATGTTTCAGACATGGAAGAAGTTTGCAAAATTTACAAAAGAGGAAAAAGAAAAAGAAGAGAGGCGAGAGCAGCTCCGTAGAAAGGTAGCTGAAATTCTCCCAGACTTTCAGATGTTCACACTGCTGTGACTCGGCTATACAGCAATCAGATGCCGTTGGGTAAAGAGTCTGTGGTGGACAGGGGGCCACAGCCCACACAGGCGCAGTGCAGTGCCTACAATGGGAGTCTCATCAGTCCGTGTGTGGGTTACCTCCACCCACCCACATATACGTGCAAATATCTGGCTTATGTTCTGTCACATGCTTTTTGGATCAAAGAAATTATTTTGTGAATGTATACTTCCTTTGATTTCTCTTGGATTGCTCATCAGTCCAGTAAAGCATTTATCAAAGCAGAACCATCCAAAGGAACAGTTTTGGGCTCTGCTGTTCAGATGTACCCTATATATTTTTAGTATCATAAACTTTAAAAAGGACAGTGTTTGTTTGCCTAAGACTGTGCAGGAAAATGTGTCCTTATAGCTTAATGTGAATTGTTGACAAATGTAACTAAATAGAAATTAAAAGTAGTGAGTACTTAGAAAAGGAGGGCCAGTCATCTAGTCCCTTAGCGTCAGCAACAGGCATTCTGCCAGACCCTGTCCATTTTGCCCACCTGATGGAAAACTGTGAATCAAAAGGCATTCTGGGAAGCCGCTGCAAAGGGTAGCAGTGTGTCCTGATTTCAGAGAAACCAGGGCACCAAAGATACTTCTCCTCAGTGCACTTTTATAATGTGAAGAGAAGTCCAAAAGCAAAGACTATCAAAGGCTGTCCAGTAATCTGTTAAAATGTCGGCTCACGCTTCCAACTTGAAATAATACATTTGATCTGTCTTCTAATCCTCAGCTCAGCTTGATCTATGTATCAAGGTTGTTGTTCAGTTGCCGAGTACTGTCAACTCTTTGCGACCCCATGGACTGCAGCACCCCAGGCTTCCCTCTCCCTCACCATCTCCCAGTTTGCCCAAGTTCATGTCCACTGAATCAGTGATGCCATCCAACCATCTCATCCTCTGTCGCCCTCTTTTTCTTCTGTCTTCAGTCTTTCCCAGCATCAGGGTACTTATCTTGAATTCAAAGAATGTTTTAATCTTTAAGGTGCTAAAGAATGTAAAGACTGACACAACACTCCTATGAATTGTCTGAAAGAGTTACCTGCTAGGAAAAAAAAGTTTTCTTTACAAAGTACTTGCTTATAACAACAAATTCAGGCAGTAAATGCACACAGTAAAATGAGACAGTCTCTTGCAGCCCTGAGGTAACTACAACTATTTGGTAAGGTTAAAATTTGAGTTGACAATGAAAATTCTGTGTGTTGTTCAATAAATCCTGTTATTGTCTCTTACTTCCTAGAAAGGATATCTAGCTACACCACCTACAAAATGACATATCCTTCTTCTATGAAAGATGTGTAATGATTTACTCAGATACAAAAATAAAAAACACTATATTGAACTTTTTCTTCCAGTGTCCCTATTCTCACTTACCTTTTCCTTTAATATGATTGCTATTAAAGGCTACTAAAATGGCTGCTAAAGAAATGGGACTAAAAGCAACTGATCGTTAACCTCTTCCTGTCTAAATCACAATCTGTTTTCACTTATCTTTAGCACACTGGCTGGTATTAGCAGTCAGATAAAATACCAATTTTGTTTTAATGCCAAGCCAGTAGATAAGGAAGAGTGGATCCCTCAAATAAACCTGCCAGGGGTCTAAATAAATTGCAGAAAGCTCAAGTTTTCTCTCTTAAGCTTTATTTTACTTTTATTTCACCTCAAGCATCAGTAGAACTTGAGTCTTCAGCAGCCCACATTCTGATTGTTTCAGCAAGGATTTTTTACCTCCCTATAGAACCTTCTGAAGAGACACAGGAAAATAACTTAGAAAATTACCCACTTAGCAAGAAACTTAGTAAATGACCTAACAATTTTCTTGCTGCTATATCATAAAGATAAAATTTAAATGCTGGAGAGGGTGCGGAGAAAAGGGAACTCTCTTACACTGTTGGTGGGAATGCAAACCAGTACAGCCACTATGGAGAAAAGTGTGAAGATTCCTTAAAAAACTGGAAATAGAACTGCCATATGACCCAGCAATCCCACTGCTGGGCATATACACTGAGGAAACCAGAATTGAAAGAGACACGTGTAGCCCAGTGTCCATCGCAGCACTGTTACAACAGCCAGGACATGGAAGCAACCTAGATGTCCATCGGCAGACAAATGGATAAGAAAGCTGTGGTACATATACACAATGGAGTATTACTCAGCTATTAAAAAGAATGCATTTGAATCAGTTCTAATAGGGTGGATGAAACTGAAGCCTATCATACAGAGTGAAGTAATTCAGAAAGTAAAACACCAATACAGTATATTAATGCATATATATGGAATTTAGAAAGATGGTAACAATGACCCTAGATGCAAGACAGCAAAAGAGACACAAATATAAAGGACAGACTTTTGAACTCTGTGGGAGAAGGTGAGGGTGGGATGGTTTGAGAGAATAGCATTGAAACATGTATATTACCATATGTGAAACAGATCACCAGTCCATGTTCGATGCATGAGACAAGGCACTCAGGGCCACTGCACTGGGATGACCCTGAGGGATGGGATGGGGAGGGAGGTGGGAGGGGGTTTCAGGATGGTGGACACATGTACACCCATGGCTGATTCATGTCAATGTATGGCAAAAACCACTACAAAATTGTAAAGTAATTAGCCTCCAATTAAAAAAAAAAAGATACGATTTAAAATGTTATTGCTGGACTTCCTTGGCGGTCCAGTGGTTAAGACTCCAAGCTCCAGTGGAGGGGGGAAGGGGAGGCAGATTTGATCCCTGGGGGACTAAATTTGCACATGCTGCCCAGTCAAAACCAAAATGAAACACTGTTGCTAGTAAAATGCCCAAATAAGCAGTATCCCCAGCCTACACAAGGGGAAAAGTAACCACAAGGAAAAGAATAATTGAGGATTGGGGGCAGTTTCCCTCCACAGCATGCAGAGAACCAGGTAGCCAGAGAGGCAGCCCAGCTCTAGTGCAGGTTTTTCTTAAAGCTCAAGAGTTCAGGAGACAAACCAAGAAGCATCAACTATTTTCCTTAAAGAAAGCACTTTATTTTCCCTTTTAAACAACTTGGTCACAGTACATTATTTTACATGAATGGCAGTCATTTTTTAAATCTCCACTTAAAAGGCCTTGTGTCTGAGTCTGAGGTGGTAAGAGGATATGAATACAAGTATAAAAACAGTGCAAAACGTTTAGCCCACAGCCTCCAGAGTTGGCTTCAGAAATCCCCTCTAATGTTGCTGAGTTAGTTACATTAAATATGAAATTTAATATTAAATAAATTTTCCTGGGCTTCCTCTAGTCTAACATCAGACCCAGAAATGTAATCATATGAAAAGTCTCAGAAGCCCTAACAACTCAAACCGTCAAAATCACGCAGACCATAGGATCACAACAGGATGAGTTTGTGAGTTCTGTAACACAGCATCTTGTCAGTGGCACCATCTGAAGAAACAGCGGATTTTAGTTGCATCCATAACTAGAATAGACTAGCTGTGGTTTTAAAGCTTTGCTCTTAGAAGTATGACTTTTCTATAAGTAAAAGATGCCATCAGGAAGATTAGAGTAGTGACAAGTCACAGGCCCGACGGAAATAGTCACAACCCCTAAAGGTCTCTGTTCAACCAGTTTTTGACCTGCTGCTGATACTACAGTGAAAAGCTTTGTGCCAACTGAAGTGGGAATAACTATCCATTAGAAACAGGATTAAATGTAGCTGATTTTGCAAAAAGTTTGTATTAGTCACAACAAACATCCAGAAGAACATACTGAATTTTCTTCAGCATTAAGTTCTTAGTTCTCATTCACAGCCTGCATCACCTTTGTAATGTTTAATACAAAATGGCACACTTTTCCAGCTTCTAATGAGAAAACCATTTTCCAAACAGGTGCCTCAAGCAAAAGTCTCCATTATCCATTTCTTATTTGAGGAAATGCTTTTTAAAATACAGGATACCAAAATATGGCTAAAATGAAGTTGTCATATAAACCTACTTACCTAATTTAAAGAGACCTTAAACCTCACAAAATTTAAACATCCTGGTTAAAACTGTGCTTCAAGATGTCATATTTTTGCTTATATAAGTTGAATTTTATAATAAAAAAGCTAACATCCTACCCAAAGGCAGTCTATTAAGCAGATGGTCACTCTTACAGAGAAACTTAACAGCATTGTGTCTCTGGCAGTGGAAGATTCTAGTATAGAAAATTTTTTCTTGCTAAAAATTTTACAAATACCAAGGACTACTGCATAAGAGAAAGTCTGTAGCAGTCTTTCTGCTAGGCAGATGGTACAGTGGAAGACCAGTACTTCATTCACCAAAGGAAACCACCACTACTTGGAAAGCAAATATTTATAGGATCCTAAACACACACACACCGGTGGCTGACATGAGAAGAGCAACCCAGCATCCCCAAAACACACTTAAGGCTTGACTTCAGCAGCATCAGAGAAACCTACCAAAAAGGCATTGTCAACAGATGGTCAGCTTGCTTCAGGTGTGACCAGCAATAACCACAAAGTACTCTTTGGGTACCATAAGAAACGTTTTTAAGTATTAAAGGATTTTCTCCCTTTATGCAGTCCTGATCCTTAATGGTTTCTCCCTCTGATCTTCCAAGTGGACCCCTTTCTCTTCCCCAGGAAAAGGACACAGTGGCATGACCATAATGTAAGTGGTCAGATCACAGTAGATCATTTAGTAAACTCCACATCCAGTATGTTTAACAGAGGCTGAGGACATGGGGTGAAAGGGGGAGACCCACTTGTCTGCACTATATTGGGGCAAGCCTGCTCCTACAGCCAAGAAACTGTGGGCTTCAGGTTTGCTGGGCAATTCCCCACAGTCACCACCACCTTTCTCTGGGGCTCATTCATTCACAGAGGCCTTGTCCTTTTTTTTTTTTTTTTTTGCGTTTTTTCAGTGAGTTTATTTATTTGTGGTTGTGCAGGGTCTTCATGCTGTGTGGGCTCTTCTCTAGCTGCAGCAAGCAGAGGCTGCTCTCCAGTTGGGGGGGGGGGTGCGGCGTAGGCTTCTCACTGCGGTGGCTCCTCTTGTTGCAGAGCACGGGCTCTGGCGCCCACAGACCTCAGTACTGTAGCTCCCACGCTCCAGAGCACCGACCCAGAGGCTGTGATGCATGGACTCAGCTGGTCTGCCATCTGGGGTCTTCCCAGACCCGGGGTGGAACTCGAGTCCCCTGCTTTGACAGGGGGGCGATTCTTTACCACTGAGCTTCCAGGAAAGCCCTCAGGCTATTTTAGATTCTAGTTTTCCATGCTCCTATCTGGTGAGAGAGGCCTGGGAGCTGGCAGTCCTCAGCCACAGTCCTGGCTCTGCCATCAAAAGCGCCGGGGCCTCTGGCAAGTGCCTGCTCCTCCCTCAGTCGTGTCTGACCCTTTGCGACCCCACGGACCACAGCCCGCCAGGCTCCTGTCCATGGGATTTCCCAGGTAAGACTACTGGAGTGGGGTGCCATTTCCTTCTCCAGGCCTTGTCCTTTAAAAGAACAAAATCCCTCATATGGTTCCAGATGGTAAAAAGGCTTGAAAGTCCAGGAGTACAGCTAAAGAATGTCCCAGAGTCTACAGAAACTGCTCACAGGTAGTCCCTTGGCTATTGCTCCTTTTGGTACAAATACTTCAATAGGCTTTTACCTCCACAAAACCACTGAGCTTTGCAAAGGTTTGTGCTTTCTTCTGTAAACTGCCAATCATGAAGTTCTCAACTTCAAACAAGCACCTTAATTCCAATCAGCCAGAATAATATGCAAAAAAAAAGTCCTTATCTGAGTGAGGGAAACAGTGAATTGCCCATCCAGGTAACCCTATTGGGGGTGTGTTGTTATAAAGATGGTGATCATTCTTCATTCTCCCAAATGAGTCTGGTCTTTTGAGTAAAGACCATCTTCATCTTTATCTTCAGCTAGGGGCTTCCCAGGTGGCACCAGTGGTAAAAAATCTGCTTGCCAATGCAGGAGATGTAAGAGACACAGGTGTGAGCCTTGGGTCGGGGATATCCCCTGGTGGAAGAAATGGCATCCCACTCCAATATTCTTGCCAGGAGAATCCAATGGACAGAGGAGACTGGGGGGCTACAGTCATGGGGTCACAAAAGGGACACAACTGAGCCTCTGAGCGCAGGCACATCTTCAGCACAATGTATTTTCATTGTTGCTAAAGATTTGGCCAGAGGCCAAGATTACGGACTATCCTAACATTTCTGTGAATTTTATTATTATCAATTGCTAAGCAATCTGAGTTGGTTATGAATCTGGCATTCAAGAGACTACAATCAGAGATTTCTGGCCATGTGTGCTCTCCTTGACATTATTACTCTCTCTTATCTCCAATCCATACACAAAGGAATTAGTTATATCAAATCCAATGAATTCCAAATGAATGCCTGATTCTGGGCCAGGGATAGGGCATTACTGTACAAACCACAGACTGCTAACATCCCCAGACTTGCTCTTTGGCTCATCATCAATGTAATATGGAGTCCATCGTTCATTAAACAGTCCATCTCTGGGGAGAGCAATGACAAGCTTGTATAAAAATGTGTGTGTCGTGAGGAGAGCCTTGATTAATGGCAGGACTAGGGGTGGTGCCAGCTGCAGAGGGCAGAGTTGTAGAAGTAGCAATATTTCCTCTCGACCTTTATAAACCTCTTGCTACAGCAGCACACACAGAAAGACTGAAAAAGCTGGCAATATTTTTCCTATGTTAAGCTATAAGCCAAGGCAAATTTAAGACTCATGAATTCTTTGGGGTTCTACAAAGAAGTACAGGTACAAAACCAAGTATTTCAAGAGCTGTATTTTCCCCATGTGAAATTAATTGCCTTATCTTAATTCTATGGCAGAATGGGCCCATGCCAAATAGTTAATCCTTTATACATTTTCCATTTTGAAATACGATTAAAGAAACAATGTAGGAAGAACTAGGGAAGAACAGTAATCTATTATTAGTGGAAACCACATATACCCTGTTTCTTCTCTCCCAGTGAGACACTTTTATCTTGGGAAAGGTGAATGAGAAGAAGGTGCAAGTTAAGTGGGAAGACATCAATCAGTCACTCAAAAAGAGCTCATGCCAGAACAATGTGAATGCCAAAAGACTGGTTTTTGCAACTTAGTGCTGTTACTGACAGTATCTCTATTACTTACGTGAACAAAAATGTCAAGCCCTTGGTATAACCAGCCACCCTACCCAGGAAGAGAGTGAACTGTTTCCCATAGGAGTGTCTGTTCTTGTCCAGTCATTGTCACAAGTGTGCAAGCACCTGATCAGGCAAAACATGGGAAGAAAAAAACATGGATGCCTATTGGAGTTACCGGGAGTAAATCCAAACAGAATAAATACATAAGAAGTAAGATAAATATAAGAATGCATCACCTAAATTCATGACCACTGTACATTATACTAGTAATAATTATGCTTAAAATCATCAACTGTCCTTTCAATATCAGATGATAGCATAAATCCATCTGGTCATCTGTGAGTAGTTAACATCTAATACTTCAGAAAGAGAAATTCCCCTAACTGTCCAACATGGTATTTGAGAATCTGTTTTTCACTCTGAAATGCTGAAAACAGATTAATGATACTAGCTTCAATATTCCAACCTACAAATATTTGTTCCAGTCTTAGGATTCTCCTAATAATACTTCATACCTCTCTGGTGCTTTAGTTGTTTTTCCATGTTTTCTACATATCTCATCCCTCACGGGACCCCCGCACTCCAACAACCGCTCTGTGAGGTAGCCTGGGCAGGCAACAGTACCGACTTGACAGATGAACCTGAGACTCGGCGAAGGGACTTGACTGAGGGTCGCATGGCTATTCAGAATTGAAAGAGGGACTAGAAACTCTCCTAATCCAAGGCTCTTTCTCCCATAGTAATGGGTGGAACTGCTTCTATCCATTTGTGCATTAGCAATCCACAACTTATGGTGACTTAGTTCGTTAGTAAGGTGACTGGAAAGGAATGGCTCTACTTCTACCTCTTTGATATAAAAATCTCTTTTAAGTTATGAAGTCAGAAAAATTCATTTCTTCCCAGTCCAGCGCCAAACCTGAGCATGGCCCTATAATGCCTGTAGGAATCAAAGGATAAACATGAGCATCCTGTGTGTACCAAAGTGTCTGATGCAAGGAAGCAGAGGGAGGAGCCACCCCCTCACCCCTGGAGCCATACAGAAGGCACTTCAGACAATGTCCTCGGCAGGGTGGTGGAAGGGGTGCACGCCCAAGGTGGAGAACTGGTGCCAGTTCCGCAGGAAGCCCCGATTGTACTGGCCTGTGTCCACAATGAGCCCGCAGAGCATCCGGCGCCCCGTCTTCTGTCGCAGGGCCTGCTGCACCTCCCTCTCGGTCACATTGTAGCTGATGTTTATCAGCTGGATCAGGAAGATGTAGGCCATGCTCCCCGTGATGATCACAGAGTACCACACGCAGGTGAAGCACAGAGCCGAGCTGGGAACGGGAAAAGGCAGGTCAGGGCGGCTGACGCTTCACAATGAGAAAGCCATCCCCATGGTAACATTTTACACACACAGTACTTACTCTTAAGGACTCTGGCACCTTCCCTGATTACCCCATCTTTCCCATCTTTGGAATGCCAATAACCTGCTTCATTTATAACTAGTAAGATGTCCTATTTTATCATTAGCGGTGCCCCCTTTTCTAGGGTGTGAAACAGGAACAGCAAGGACCGTTTTGTGTGTTTTGCAGCCCCCATACAACCAACACAATACCTGACAACACCATTCAAAACCTGTTTGCTGAATGAGTAATTCCTAAATTGTTCTCAATGCAGAAGAAAATAAAGGCACCGTGAGATTGCTAAAAACGTCCCTCAAGGAATTGTGGGTGGGAACCCAGGAGCAATGCTAAGGTTACTCATCTCTGTTCTCTTAGGTTGCTGAGCACAAGTCAGAGGACAGCTCCCTGCACAGGCAGCCCTTTCCCTGTCAGCTCTGCAGAAGCATCAGGAACACAACCACACTTCAAATCCCACTGCTTCAAACCAAACAAAACCCCATAGGGCAAGAAAGCCACTTCCAGCTCATCTGATGTCTGCCAATTGGTTATTTTTGGTCAACATTTGCAAATGAGTTAGCTGGAAACTGGTTCAGAATCTTCACTGTTAAGCTGAAAGAGACCTCAGGGATGATTAAAGCACTACAAAGATGAGGAAAACTAAGACCCAGGGAGGAGACATGAATCGTTGGTCCACAGCACTGAGAATATAGTAGCTGGACTATGTTCCTCATTTCATTTATGAGGCCCACAGAAGATCTAGAAAACTCACACTTACTAGCATACAAGGACCCTGAAGGTCCTTTGCTTTCTTCTCACTCTTTGTTTTCAAGACACTCTGCTTTGTCCGTCCAGGCGCTTGTCCATGGACAGCTCTGCTCCTTACTATTATAGACCCAGACATTCATGGGTATTAAAATAGATGAGTCCTCCTGGGGTTAAGACTGTCCTTTCTTCTTTATGTTGAGAATCTTCATAGGTTGTGAAATTCTTTGGTAACTACTATTCTTAGTGGCTTCTGTGATAAATGTCCTAAAGCAGAATTTTGGGTGAGGGGTGTGGCGGGGGCTAGGCCAAAGCTAAAAAAATTCCAGCTTCTGTTAAAACATGGCAATCCTCACACTACAAATGGGCCCCAACCTAAAAACACTGAAGGAAATTTTGACCTAGATACTACAATAATCCTCGAGTGGTGATTAAAAAAAAAAAAAAAAGAACAGAAAAAAAAAATCAATGGAGGTTAAATAGAAAAGAAAGGTTACAGAGATTGTAAGCATTTCAGAAAAGGGTCAAAAGCAATAAATTAAGTCTGGGCTACAGAGCACCAGAAAGCAGCAATGAAGTGAAACGTCCCCTGATCCTCACTTTTTAAGGTCGGCGCTCCTTCTGACATCACCCGAGAAAAATGAACATATCCGCTGCACAGTCATGTACGAGCAAATTTAGGGCTACCCAGCATCTCTAGAACCTGTCCCGTGTTTTCAGTGAGAACTTCTCACCCAGCCGCAGATCACAGCCCCTTATGCTGACTGCAAACCCACTCCCTCTTCCAGGGGGCTCCTGTATGGAGATCTCACCTGTAATCTGCATATACTCCAGGGCAATAGAAGAGAGCTGTGAAGACACTTCTGTCTGTACAGATGGTGTCCAAGGTCAGCGTTATCCCATACACCGAGGTGAGCAGGAAGACCAAAAGGGCAAGTATAAATGCTTGATGGTTTGATTCTCCGACACAGCTATTTATCCTCAAAACAGCACAAGGGGGAAGAAAGCAAACATGTCTTTAAAAGTTCTCTATGTAACTCAATAAACAAGAAGGCATTTTATTCAGGGATAGTATGCATTTCAGTTATTAAAAAAAATATATGTTCTCTTGTTTTCACTTTTAGGGAATTAAAAATTTGTCTGCTGAGAGATGTATTCTTACATTCTCTAATCTCTGCAAAGTGAAACCCTCTCATTCGTTTAAGGACAAAAGTACGTGAAAAGTAAAACATGGCTAACAAATCTTTCTAGATATTAGTAAGTGAGGTCTGTTACCCAATGTTAACACTGTCATCACTGCTATAAGGATAAGATGGTATCAGAGTTATAATAACTTAAAAATGCTAAATCAGAAGTATTACACAGTGTGGGAAAAAATCCCTATTAAATACACATATTAATAAAAGATCCCAGGAGGTTAGAAACGCAGTGTGGGGTTGGAGAACAGCTCAATAGTATGCAGGCTACTTGTCACGTACAGAGTTCCATGTCATGGCCGTTTGCAGGGCATGTTGATGGGCACATCAGGATAATCCAGTGGGCAGAGATCTCATAAGTGAGGCTATCAGGCCCTCTGCAAACCAGCGCTTGCAAATGGACCACCACCACCCTGCACGCACACATGCAGGCATGCATGAGAATAAATGATGAAGACAGAGAAGAGGAAAGCCTAAAAATGAAAATACCTGTTTACCCCTAAAGCCCAAAGCCCCAGAAAAACAGCTGTCCCTGTTCACAAGCCCTGAACTTAAGGTCTGCTTCTGTGCCATCCAGGCAGTCAGCACCCTCACCCTTCTCCACACCTCCTTCTAAGGGGGAGAGTGGAACATGACCAGAATCCTTGGCATAAGAAGAGTAATTCACTGACTGCAACTGCCTCAAGAGCAAGAAAGTTGCAAATGAGCTACTTAGAACATTCACACCGGAATGAATCACACCCCTTTTAAGATTTAGTCAGTAAAGCTGCAACATTTTCTTTAAAAGTCACACTTCACATCTTACGGCCTCAGGTGTCCTCATTTGTCACTGGGCAGCAGAGAAGTGCCCCCCAAAAGCCCACTTCTGCACAAATAACCAAATAGGGAATTATCTGTCAGGGCCGTAAGTCAAGAATGTAGACTAGAAATCATTGGCACATCTAAATGATGGAAGAATACACAGAGGCTAAGAGTCACCTAGAGGTACAGGAACATGTTCTGAGCTATGTGGGGGAGATGCACCTATACTACTTCTAATACATTCTTTTTTTAAATGTCCTTCAACTGTAGATACCTGTCTCATAGAAAGGAGAAAATGAGGGACAGCTAAGAAGAGAAAGCCCCCCCCCCCAAAAAAACACCTTCAGGAAATGACTGAAAAGAACTAAATTTGTGAAGCTTGAAAAACTGATGACTAAGTGGCAACATCATATAAAGCCCACAAATATCTACAAGGTGTAAAGCTGGGAAGGCGAGAAATGAGGATGGCACAAAGGAAAAGCACACTCAGCAAGAGTCTCACGTGAACTTATGTAGACTCTGCAAGCCTCCAGATCTTTCCAACATACCAGACACAGTGATGATCCATCCTCCTCACACAGATGCCGCAGATCCGGCAGTGCCACGCCCGGGCTGGCCGCACCAACTGGCACTTGGTGCACCAGTCCTCCCTCCCTTTGGCCGGGCTTCCGGCCGATGTCCTCGGGGAGTCCTTAGTCTCATCCTTGGGAGCGCGGTTGTTGAGACTGCCCAACAGATCTGCGCTGGGGAACCCCTTGGTCTTCTCAGGCCCTTTTCTGTTCAGGCATTCAACATGGCTGTCACTTAGAGCCCTGTTGTTGTGTGCTGGGTTTCTGAGGTAGCCTGGATTCTTCTTGGCTCTGTACAAGGCAAAGAGGATGAGCAATAACCCGCAGGTAAGAAGAGCCAGCCGAGTGGGCCCCACACGCCCCTTGGGGACCACTTCCTGCAGGAACACGTAGTACATGTAGCCCAGGGAGAACAGTCCGAGGCTCAGGAAAAACAGAGTCTGTTCTTTCCTTCTGTGAGTGAGGTAGTAGTACCACAGAGCCAGCATGGGGAGGGAGGTCAAAACCACCACCCCCAGCAAGAAATGCCAGGAAGCCACACGGAGGAAGACAGGCAGCAGGAACAGTGGGGGAAGGATGCTAATGTTAACTTTCTTGGCTCCCCTAAGCCAAGGAATCCGGAGGCGGTCTGAGATTGTGTCCATGATCTTTTCACAGGTCTCAGGCTGCACGGACTTACACGTGATCCATCTATTCAGAAAGAGCACAGAGAAGGCACATGGTACATGTTTGTTGAATTAAAAACCACCCCACACTGCAGGCCAGACAGCAAGATAAATGATAAAAGATGCCAAAGGCCAAGGATTTAACTTCTTTACTATTAAACAAGAGCCTTACAGATTCATGTATAATTTTTTAATTCAAATGAGAAAATATTTAAATATTTAACAGAACTATTTCTACATGGGACAAATACACGGGAATAAACATATTCCACCTAAGTACTGTTCAGACTTGGGTAGCTGTCAAGACATAAAAATCTCAAAAAAACCATCCACAATTTAGTTGTGAACACAACATGGGAATTCAAGAAATATTATTAGATAAGTGACAAAATATAGGGCTTCTCTGGTGGCTCCCAGGTTAAAGCATCTGCCTGCAATGTGGGAGACCTGGGTTCAATCCCTGGGTCAGGAAAATCCCATGGAGAAAGAAATGGCAACCCACTCCAGTATTCTTGCCTGGAGAATCCCATGGACAGAGGAGCCTGGTGGGCTATAGTCCACGGGGTCGCAAAGAGTCAGACATGACTGAGCAACTTCACTTTCAAGTGACAAAATAATAAAATCAACCAATGAACTATATATGCCAAACACTGTAAGGAACGCTCAGAAGAGAGGACACATTTCTGGGTGGAGTCATCACAGGGGTCTCTGTGGGAAAAAGGAATCTGTGCTGGAACTTGATGCTGGCTAGTATTCATCTGGGTGGGGAGGAAGGCAAGGAGGCATTCCATGGAGAGACTTGAGCACAGCACAAAACCCATCCTGGGCCTGGGGAGTAAACCAGTTCAGAAGGGCAGGGGATGGCATCAGGAAGAGTAGAGATCACACTCAGTTCAGTTCAGTCCCTCAGTCATGTCCGACTCTTGGTGACCCCATGGACTGCAGTACGCCAGGCTTCCCTATCCATCACCAACCCCAGGAGCTTGCTCAAACTCACATCCATCGAGTCAGTGATTGCCATCCAACCTTCTCATGCTCCATCATCCCCTTCTCCTCATGCCTTCAATCTTTCCTAGCATCAGGGTCTCTTCCAGTTCTTCGCATCAGGTGGCCAAAGTATTGAAGTTTCAGCTTCAGCATCAGTCCTTCCAACGAATATTCAGGACTGATTTCCTTTAGGATAGACTGGTTTGATCTCCTTGCAGTCCAAGGGACTCTCAAGAGTCTTCTCCAACACCACAGTTCAAAAGCATCAATTGTTTGGCACCAGCTTTCTTTATAGTCCAACTCTCACATCCGTACATGACCACTGGAGAAAAAAAGCTTTGACTAGATGGACCTTGCTGGCAAAGTAATGTCTCTGCTTTTTAATATGCTGTCTAGGTTGGTCATAGATTTTCTCTCTAGGAGCAAGCATCTTCTAATTTCATGGCTGCAGTCACCATCTGCAGTGATTTTGGAGCCCAAGAAAATAAAGTCTCTCACTGCTTCCATTGTTTCCCCATCTGTATGCCATGAAGTGATTAGGACCGGATGTCATGATCTTAGTTTTCTGAATGTTGAGCTTTAAGCCAAGTTTTTCACTCTCCTCTTTCACTTTGATCAAGAGGTTCATTAGTTCTTCTTCGCTTTCTGCCATAAGTGTGGTGTCATCTGCATATCTAAGGTTATTGATATTTCTCCCAGCAATCTTGATTCCAGCTTGTACTTCATCCAGCCCAGCATTTCGCATGATGTACTCTGCATATAAATTAAATAAGCACGGTGACAATACAAGTACAGGCTTGATGTACATACTCCTTTCCCAATTTGGAACCAGTCTGTTGTTCCATGTCCAGTTCTAACTGTTGCTTCTTGACCTACATACAGATTTCTCAGGAGGCAGGTCAGGTAGTCTGATATTCCCATCTCTTTAAGAATTTTCCACAGTCTGTAGTGATCCACACAGTCAAAGGCTTAGTCAATACAGCAAAAGTAGATGTTTTTCTGGAACTCTCTTGGTTTTTCTATGATCCAGTGGATGTTGGCAATTTGATCTCTGGTTCCTCTGCCTTTTCTAAAACCAGCTTGAACATCTGGAAGTTCATGGTTCATGTACTGTTGAAACGTGGCTTGAAAAATTTTGAGCATTACTTGCTAGCATGTGAAATGAGTGCAATTGTGCAGTAGTTTGAGCATTCTTTGGCATTGCCTTTCTTCAGGATTGGAATGAAAACTGACCTTTCCCAGTCCTGTGGCCCCTGCTGAGTTTTCCACATTTGCTGGCATATTGAGTGCAGCACTTTCACAGCATCATCTTTTAGGGTTTGAAATAGCTCAACTGGAATTCTATCACCTCCACTAGCTTTGTTCCTAGTGATGCTTCCTAAGGCCCACTTGGGTTCACATTCCAGGATGTCTGGCTCTAGGTGAGTGATTATACCATTGTGGTTATCTGGGTCTTGAAGACCTTTTTAATATAGTTATTCTGTGTATTCTTGCCACCTCTTCTTAGTATCTTCTGCTTCTGTCAGATCCATACCATTTCTGTCCTTTATTGTGCCCAACTTTGCATGAAATGTTCCCTTGGTATCTCTAACTTTCTTGAAGAGATCTCCTTATGCAAAATTCAGACTTAAACTGAAGAAAGTAGGGGAAAGCACTAGACCATCCAGGTATACCTAAATCAAATCCCTTATGTAATTTGATTATGAAATCAAATTCCACTATTTGTGGAAGTGACAAATAGATTCAAGAGATTAGATCTGATAGACAGAGTACCTGAAGAACTATGGATGGAGGTTCGTTGACACTGTACAGGAGGCGGTGATCAAGAAAAAGAAAAAGGCAAAATGGTTGTCTTACAAATAGCTGAGAAAAGAGATCACACTAGTATGACTCAAATGATGGAGCCTGGTGAACTGGTGGTATTGTTGACTTTTTTGCATACTTACGCTATTATGGAAAGGAACAGTTGAAGGAAGGATAACATCAATTTTAGAAATTTACAATTTTAAAAGAATAGGGCTAGACCTGGAAATGAATGGGAACTAATTATATGGGAGGCATACAGAGCAGCAGGTTTATGGAAATGCTGGGAGCTCATCTCCAGAGAAGGGTATGGAGAGAAGAGAACTCAGGGACAGCTCAGGTCTTAAGGGTTGGGAGGGAGGAAGAGTTAGAAGGCTAATGGAAAAGCAGTGGTTTTGAGTGATGCAGCTTACGGAAAAGGCATCATTTCTCCATTCATTAGTCCAAAGTGCTCCATTTTCTCAGGATGGATTTTACCTAAGTCTAAAGAACCTATACTTAAAGGCACCTGTAAGAGATTATATAGGGCCTTACAGGTGGCTCAGTGGTAAAGAATCCACCTGCAATGCAGGTGACATGGGATTGACCCCAAGATCAGAAAGATCCCCTCGAAAAGGAAATGATAACCTACTCCAGTATTCTTGCCTGGGAAATCCCATAGACACAGGAGTCTGGGGGACTACAGTCCATGGGGTTGCAAAAGAGCTGGACACAACTTAGCACTAAACAACAATAAGACATTATACACACTGTCAAAGAAGAATTACAAAGGGGTTATGGAATACTAGACTAAGGTAGTCCCCAGGAATGCGTCTCGCAGCAAGATTAAAGCACCAAGATGTAAGTCAGCAATTTGCCATTTCAATGACTTTTTTTTAACCAGAAGTAATTACCAATGGGTAAAGCAAGTCTCCACCATCCTTATCCTCCCCACACTATGCTTTCCATGTGATAACAGTTTTTAAATATATAACAGATATAAATATAAAATGGATAAAAACCAGATTATTACTATTTGGTACAAAATTTTTTCAGTGATGTTAGAAATTGGCTCTTTGGATAATTGATTTTCATCACTTGGGATAATGGTGAAAATAAAAGCCAAATGTAAAACAGCATCAATCAGGACAGTGCTGCCGCTCATGCTGAAAACAACCCATCCAGGGTAGGATCATGCCTCTGGCTGGATCGCCTCCCCAGAAAGAAGGGTGAGACCGATTTTTCAACCCTCAAGGCCCTTTGTGGCCAAGTGCAAGCCAGTCCCAAGGTGTCAGTCTCTGAATGCTGAGACCACCGAGAATGTAGGAACTTCCTGGTACTAATGTGTTCATTTTAAACTTACAGATTGTACTGGCCTGCATTTTATTTTTTTATACAATTTAACTTGTCTACTATTCCTTTATCTGCCTGTTCTCTCCATCATCTTCTCCCTTTAAGTCAGAAATAATAATTCCTAATAAACTGGGCTGAACAGACAATTGTGCACTACTGAGTAATAAGTCATCTTTACCAAGCCCTCACGCTTGACACAGAAGACAACTTTCAATTGGAGATAAGTAGAAATAGAATGAAGAGCAAATTCTAGCGTTCCGGATGGCTAAGCTGCAAGTATACATGGTAGTTCGCAAAAGGGCCGGTGGGGTCAGTATCAAGAAACACACAGTGCTTACCTATCACACCCTTCGTCCAGATCTTGGCAATCACACAAGCAAGCAGCCACGTGGTTCTTTTCCCCATTTCGATCTATGTACTCGCAGCAGCACAGGGGCTCCAATTCAGGTTCTTCCGCTTTGGTTTTCTTCACTGGCTTCACACTGCCCTTCATTTCCACCTGTCACTACGAAGCACACGAAGCCCTCAGAAAGAAAAGTGGAACGAATACAACTCACATTTCGTAAACAAATCCACGTCTATCTCTGATTAACCACCAACGCCTGAGAATTAAAAAAGTGAGAAAGAGGGGGAGGTGGTCCCCTTTTCATCAGGATTTTCTGGCTGTCTTTGGCAAGACGCAGAGCTCTAGGGCTCTAGCCGCTTCCGAGCTGCCTTCAACTCCAGATACCCCATGCAGGACCGGCGCCGTCTGGGCACCAGCGGTTCCCATAACGACAACCGACTACGCGGCCCGGGACAGCCGGGGCGCGGCTGGCTGCGCTCACCTGCGGGTGCGGACTCGGGAGAGCCGAGCTGTCCCCGTCCGAAGCCTGGGTGCGGGTGGAAACACCCTCGGGGCTGCGGGCGGAAACAAAGCGTCTACCCGCTGGGGCCGACGGCCCGACTCGGGAGAGGAGCCCGGGCAACGCTCGGGGTCGCCGTCCAGCCCCGCTTCTCCTCAGCTGGGCGCGCCTCTGCCGCCAGTCAATCGCAAGAACGTGGGCGGACCGAGAACGCCACGCCGCCCAGCCCGAAGAATGACCTTGGGAGGGAAGTTACCTGTGCTCCGGAGCCGAGGTGCGGCTACAGCCAAAGAGGCCGAGGCGGAGAGAAGCAGGGTCGGCTTCTCCCGGGGCGCGGACGTGGCTCCAGGATCTCTGCTCCGCGGGGCTCCGGGCGGGATGACTGGAGTCTCGGGGACCTCGGCTTCGCTCTCCGCTGCCGCCCACCTGTGACCACAGCCGGCCTCCGCCCGGGCGGTGCTTCCGCCGCCCCCGGGCCGGCGGGGTTCAGCGCCGCAGGTCCGCGAGCTTCCGGGTGCCCCGCCCCCGGCGCCGGGGATCCCCGCCCGCCCGCACGTGCGGAGGCTCCCCCTGCCCTAGCGAGGCCCCTCCCCGGCCCGCGGCCCGGATGCCCGCGGGAGCGCAGGAGCCGAGCTCGGGGTCCCGGAGCCGGTCCAGGCGGTCGGGCCCCGGGCTGGCCCCGCACCTCCGCCACGCCCCAGAGGCGGCCGCCCAGACCCCGCCCGGCCCCGCGGGTGCCTCGGGTTGGGAAAGGCGCGGAGGCGGAAATACGGGAAACCCCGGAGCCCGGAGGGTTCCCGAAGTACAGGAGAGCCGTGGTTCGGCCAGTCTCTCTGAGACTACAGCAACAGGCGTTGGTGGAGCTCTCCACCGCGAATTGTTACCGACGTACCGCCCCCAAATTCGCTAACCTTCTCTTAAAGGCCCATCCCTGTCCTTGATCTGTTAGTTATCCAACTTGTTCATTTTCATGATTTCCGGCAAGCAGTCTGCATTAGACCAGCAGGTTGCATATTAGAAATAAAAACTGCCCTAAAATGAGAGTCCTCTTTGGGTTTTAATTTTGCACAGATTTTTTTTAAGCGTGCCGGCGCATGTATATGTTTTCACTGAAACAGGGTTTCTAGTTTGGGGAGGGTTTGACAGAAAAAGAAGAAAAACGACTTAGACATTTTGGATTTTATTGATATTCAATTTACATAGGCTCAAATACAGTTAATTGAATTCTGCACATATTTAGTCATAATTTATAAAGCAACTTTGGTAACTTTCTTTTGAGGTATTTTATGAAGTACAAGTTTTGAGGATACATCACAAATATATTCAGCTTCTCATTGACCATTTTTGTGAACTTAACAGAGACCAAGTTTTAGAGTGACAATCCAGTCATTCTTGCTCACAGTCAGACACCTCATAGATCCTTATCATAAAACCTCCAGGTAGATACACTGGTAGTTAGGTTAGTTGGGATTCACCCAGAGAAACCTGGTTCTCCTCTAATCCAGTCAATACTTTTCTTTCTCTGTGAGCATCACAAAAATGACTTTAGCAATCCCATGTGGCTTGAATGACTCTGGGCAAAAAAAAACATTTAAAGGCAATTGTTATTCAAACAGTAAGAATATATACAAATTATTCTGCAATGTCCCTCTCTTGTTCCAGAGACATAACTCCTATTAAGACACATATGCCTAACAACTTTGAAAGAGCCAAAGCTCATGTCTGATTTACAACTTGTCAGTGCACTTGTATTGGGAGATAATGCCCCCCAAAGTCTTCATTAAAGAGTTAAAAGTTTTGTGTCTGGCTTACAAATTACTGACTATAGCCACACACACATGAATGAGTAAATAAAGCCATACGTGGCTACTGAAAAGTAATCCACAAATTATTTTCAACCAGATGGCTCATTTCCATCATAAAAGTTTGCTAAGCTGAAGCCAAGCTTAGTTCAAGTATGCATTTGCTCTGACACTAAAACGCCCAGGTTTTAACATAATCTTTTTAAAACTCAGAGCACAGTTCTTCATTTTGAGGGTTGGTATCCTATATGCTTCCTTTTCTGAAGTGGACTTTTCTGCCATTTGATGTATGAAGAGGCAAGATAATTGCACCTCTGACAGCCCCCTGAAGAAACACTTATTTCCTTCATATACAACATGACTGAAGAATCTTTCAAATAATCATCAACATGCAGATTCAAAAGGTTCAACTATTGAATTTACTTACTAAACAAATGAAGACACTGTAATATTTACAGTACACAAAGCTATGTTATAATATATGCCTGAAAACTGATAATAATAAGTTTTAAAAGATAAAAGATAATAATGATTTAGAGGTTTCTTCTGTTGTCTTCTTTATCCTCTTTAATGTTTACCTGTGAAAACAGCCTAATGGATACATACTAATTCTGTGCTAAGAGATAAACTTAAAGCATCAAACTTTAAACCTCACTGTGAAAATGAGGCCATACCACTCAGTTCTTTTTATGTCACAAAACTTCAAATCCACAAAATATTTCACGCTTCATTGGAGAAATTCACAGCTTAGAATTATGTATAAGAACTGAAAGGATGGATTCTTAAGGCCATTGGAGGCTAATTCTCCAGTAAGTGTTATTAGAAAGAATGTTCATATTAGATGTATGAATAATGAAAAAATATTGAAATGTTCCTGTGACCATTCAAATCTTTCATCTTCTGGTTTTCTTCAAGATGTTGTCTTTTGGTTCCACATATCTCTACAATTTTGGTCCTTAAGATCACTAGCTTTGGATAGTCTTGTTCTTACTTAGTAGATCAAAGGTTCTCTGAAGCATAATAAGTGAGCTCTTCAACTGCGGAGAAAAATTTTCAAAATCACATTGTTTATATTTTTCTGATTATTTGTATGCCAGAAGTTTGCATTTAATAAAATTGTCTACACTGATGCCCAAATAAAAGACTGATTATAAAATGCCTTATTCCTTAGGTTATCTGTCAGTGTGAAAGGGCTCTTCCAGTTTGCTGCAGTACTGCATTTCTTCCTATGACACACTGCTTTGTGCTCTACCTATCAATAAGTCCATTCATCAGAAGATCCAAAGTGAAGAGCTTGTTTTCTGAAATGGTTTCTGAAGCTGCAGTGGTCTCCCCACCATCCCCTAAACAACTCAAGTTCCACTCCAGGCCTTTGTTTGCTACTATGCTTATGTTCATCTTCACCTATCTAAAACTGAGCCATCCCCACTGTTTCCCCTAATCATCCTGCCTCTAAACTTCTAAATTATTACTACTTACTTTGATGCTTAATTTTGTACTTTTTAAAGTAGTCTTTATCATGCACATGGACATCTGATATCTCTAATAAAATTCTAGACAACTTGAGAGCAATAATTATGTCTTATTCTTTTTTGTAGTCATTTTTTAATTCATTCTTTCAACAAATATTTTTTGTTCACCTGTTACATGCTGGGCACTGTGCTAAGTCCTGGGTATATAATGGTGAACCAAATAGGCACTGCTCCTGCCTTCATGGAACTCACAGACTAGTGAGGGACTCAGAACCAAAACAAATAATCTCATCCATAAATATACACTTACACACTATATGATACAAAGTTTTTCACTTGAACAACTGGAAGATGATAGTATCATTTTTTGAAATTATGTCAACTAGCAGAGAATTGAGTTTGGCTCAGGATGAAAATTGGATTCTGTTTTAGACACAGTCAGTTTGGGGCACCTGTTAGCATCTAGGTAAAGATACCAAGTCAGCAAGTGGCTGTATGAGTCTGGACTTGGAGAAGAGGTCAAGGTGAGATAGATGCTTTGGGAGCCATTGGTGTGTGTGGTATTCTAAGTTAGGGAAGCAGCTGAGATAACCTAAAGGGCAGTACAAGAGAAGGGAAAGGACTTTAATGTGAAGTCTGCAGTACTGGGCCAGGATGAGGTCAGATAGAGAAGATGGTTTTAACCAGCAAACAGCAGTTTTACACTATGCTAAGTGAAAAAAGCCAGGCATGAAAGACCATATAGTATATGATTCCATTTATATGAAATGTCCAGAATAGGCAAATCCATAAAAACAGAAAGTAGATTAGTGATTACCAGGAGCTGAGAGAGTGAGGGATGGGAGTGACTGCTCATGACTACTGGGCTTCTTTGGGAGATGATAAAAATGCTCTGGAATTAGATAGTAGTCCTTTTTCATTAGTATAATTACTGATATAATTGTGTTTAAGTCTGTTATTACTGATGTTCTTTAGTCACTAAGTCATGTTCAACTCTTTTGCAACCCCATGGACTATAGCCCTCCCCCCATCTCCCCTAAAACTCCTCTGTCCATGGGATTCCCCAGGCAAGAATACTGGAATGGGTTGCCATTTCCTTCTCCAGGAGATCTTCCCAACCCAGGGATCGAACCTGTGTCTCCTGTATTGGCAGGCAGGTTCTTTACCACTGAGCCACAGGGAAGCCTGTGAGATGGTTAGATGGCATTACCAACTCAGTGCACATGAATCTGGGCAAACTCTGGGAGACAGTGGAAGACAGAGGATCCTGGTGTGCTACAGTCCATGGGGTTGCAAAGAGTCAGACACGACTTAGCAACTTAACAATTAGATAGAGGTGATGGTTGCACTACCTTGTGATTATACTAAAAATTCTTTAAAAGGTGAATGTTATGCTATGTAAGTTATTTCATAATAAAGCTAGGTTTTTTCATGGTTCTAAAGAAGGGAAGATTAGATATATTTCAAGAAAGGAATGGTCAGCTCTGTCAAATGCAGGCACTGTAAGATGAAAACTCAGAAAAAAGGTACATTAACTTTAAAAGTCAGAGGCTACTGGGAGCTTAGCTTGGGCAGTGTCAGCAGAAGAAATCAAGGCAGTGCACACTGAAGAGGGAATAAGTAGATTAAATACATGCATCCAATTTTGCTCCCTCCTGCAACCCCACCAAAAGCACAGTAAAGGCATTTTTTTTTAAGGCATAAATCCATGAGGTTGGGGGTAGGGGGGAACAGAAAGGCAACAAGAGCAACATGACTTTGGAGACTGGAAGGAAGAAGGATGACTTGGCAGCCCTGAAAACGCTGAATCCCAAGCCAACAGTAAAGAAAGTTGAGAACCAAACAAATTTACCCTGAAGAATCCTCAAAAGCCTCAGGAATTGACAGGCACCTTTGAAAGTAGGAATAAAGAGGAACTGAAATAAGAATGACTGGATGAACTTTTGGACATGTGGCCTCTCCTACTACCTGGGCAGAAGTCTGAAGTCCTATTTTCTGGAGAGGATAAACAGACAATCTCTGGCAGTCGGCCAGGAGGATGCCAAAACATCAGTAAAGACAGCAGTACTGACCAAGAATAGGGACTACACAGTAACATGTACACTGTGCTCTCGGATTGTCCCATCGCCCTGCCCCCTCTATCCCTCTGCTCTCAGTCAGCTCCTAAAATGCAGGCAGCCAGCCCTTAATTCTTCAGGGAGGAGACTGAAAGAGTCCTCTGTGGAAACTGACCAGTCCAAGAGTAAAGACCTAAAGATGCTGACATGAGGATTTCTTAACCAACAGGCCAGCCAGATCTACTGAGAAGTTAAGGGTAGACCAGCCCAGCTCACACATGAAGAACTTTGGATCCACACAGGCAGACAGCAAAAGACTACAGACATCTAAAGAAATCCCCTAGCCCTAAGGACAGAAATCAAAAGAGGGGGAAAGGATCTTGCTGGAAAGCGGGTATGCAAGAAGAAGAAAAATATATTTTTTTTTAATTATCAGTAACGTGATCAGAGAGAAAGATACTATAGCCACTTAAAAAGTTCACAATTTCATTTTTAAAAAAAAGAAAATTCAGAGAAATTTGAAATTAAAAATTAGCAAAAAACTGAAAAACTCAGTAGAAGAATTTGAAGATTAAAAGAGGAAATTTCTGGGAAGTAGAATAAAAAGGCAAAAAGCTGGAAAGCTGGAAAGCTGGAAAGAAAAGCTAAGGTTAGACAACCTATCCAACAGAAGGCCAATGCCTGATTACAGGCACTATAAAAATCTCTACTTTTCAATTCTGAAAAGTTGTTGTTTGCTTATTATCTAAAATATATTTATTTCAGTCCTTCTTGTTGTTCAGTCACTAAGTCATATCCGACTGCTTTCGACCCCATGAACTGTGGCACACCAGGCTTCCCTTTACTATCTCCCTGAGTTTGCTCAAACTTATGTCCAAAGAGTCAGTGAGACTTGAAAAGTACACAAATCTTATATTATAATGGGAGTATTAGTCTTTATTTTTCAAAGGTAATCCTAAATTTTGATTCATAGAACCAAGCAGCACATATTGATGACAAGAGAGAACACTTATAGAAAACACCAAAATAACCTATGTATTTATTCTTCAATGGGGAACTGGTAAAATAATTATGCCACACATGTACAGTTGAATTCTATAAGCTACTAAAAGAAGAAGTGCTTTATATGCTGATATAGAAGTATCTCCATGATACATGGTTAATAGATAAAAACAAAATAATGGACAGTGTATACAATATCTATCATTTCTATAAAAAGAGCTAATTTTTTTTTTAAAGAGCTAATGTTAAGCATGAAATCTTATATAGAAGGAGCAATAAAAAGAATGAGGTAGACGTATACATACTGATATGGAGACACCTTCAAATATATTACTAATTGAAAAAAGGAGGGTATGCAATGGTAAGTATAGTATATTTCCATTTTTTAAAAAAAGTATTGATAAAAGTACCTATATACATAAAATGCATAATCCAGAAACTGGCAAGGTTAGATGCCTCTAGAAGGGGGCTTTTTTCAAATAATGGTATAGTGAATATTCTCTCACAGCCAGAGAAGCAGCTGAATCACTGGGATGAGTACCAAGTACCATGGCACACAGAGGTACCAACCTGTTCCAGCATCACCATGGAGTCCCGGAGCACTCGTTTTAAGTGATGGGCCTGGCCTTTGCTCTTTTGAACAGCTTCCGCTCTTGACACCAAATCGGAGGCTAAACTGAAAGAAAAGTACCATCTTAAAGATCAGGAAATAGGGACTTCCCTGGCAGTCCAGTGGCTAAGACTCTGCGCTTCCAATGCAAGGGGCCCAGGTTTGATCCCATGTTGGGGAACTAGATCCCACATGCCACAGCTAAGAGTTTGCATGCAGCAACTAAAATATCCTTCATGCTACAACTAAGACCTGGCACAGCCAAATAAATAATTTTAAAATTTTTTGAAAGATCAAGGGAAAGGCTTCTAGCCTTTTCCAGAAATCATTAGCCCCATAAATTTGCAGGTAAAACAAAACAGTATATGACTAAAGAGAAGTTGGCAGACCAAACTCTCTAAAACTGGACTTACATTTTCTGCAGCACAGGAATTATTCAAGTAATAGGTTGTGGAAAGGAAGACTTACTTTAAAGATTTTTCTTCTTGGAGATGAAGACGGTAAAAGGACTGAGCAGCATATTCTATCTTTGATAACTTCAGAAACAGCATCACATTCAGCAAAACTAGCAACAGCAAACTAGACAGAGAAAATCAGACCTGGTTAATCCACTCTCATTCAGACCTAAAGCATTGCTAATGCAGGAGAGACACGCAAAAGCTTCAAAAATGCCTATTACCCAGACCAGTTTCCAATTAGTTATTATTTAAATTAATTATTCTTATTTTATTGTATGAAATAATAACTTTAAGTATTAAGTGGATGTTGAGGGAAAAGTTGGAAGGTAACTAGTGACAATGAAGTCCTCAAATAAGCAGGTTGGGATTGTCCCTGACGTCTCTCCTCTCAGCCAGGAATCCTAACCAGTGTTGATGTGCAACCACCAACCTAGAAATCTACCACATTAGCTTTCAAGATCTATTTTGGGGTGCTTTTGTCTTAAGCAATTACACATGCATAATACTGTACTTCAGAAAGGAAATGAAGATCAATATGGATTTGCTCTTAGATCGTTATGTACCTCTTATTCCCAGCGGAAGCAAAAACAAATGCACATTCAGCAAAAATTCCTTCTGGTTCAACTTAGACAAAGTTTCAAATCCCAAACAGACATCAATGGTATCATATGTAAAATGCTACTTGTTAAATACACTTACTTTGTTGGTATTCACAACGGCATGTCAAGTGAATGAATGTATCTCATTACATATACATGCAAATACATAGGTGGCATCATATCTCATTTTTTCCTGTTAAAACATTGACTTGCCTTAAAATATACAGTATTCACTTTTACCCATCCTGAAGATGAAAACTAAGGTAGTGGAGAAAAAATCAAATTTATGAAATGGCATAAAAATCAACATTTAATATCTGACTATAAATTTTCTGCAAAGTGATACAAAAGATCACAGATAATATATACTATTCAAAATTGTCCCAGCAAATCAATTTAAGCAGAATATGAAAAGCTTTTATAAAACTTGAAGGTACAACAAACATTTTCTATGTTCTGAAGTCTATAATTAGAAAAAAAAGGCTGATATAAGAATTTCTTTCCAAAAAATATATCCAGAGAGTATCATCCAGTCAGAACTAATTCAATTAAATCTAATGGACTACCCCATGATCCAAGTATAGCCATGGAGATTAGAAAGTGAAAAGTGAAAGTGAAGTCACTCAGTTGTGTCCGACTCCTTGCGGCCCCGTGGACTGTAGCCCACCAGGCTCCTCTGTCCATGGGATTCTCCAGGTAAGAATACTGGAGTGGGTTGCCATTTCCTTCTCCAGGGGATCTTCCCGACCCAGGGATCGAACCCGGGTCTCCTGTATTGCAGGCAGACACTTTAACCTCTGAGCCACCAGGGAAGCCCTAATAGGAGTCTAAATATGACTGACAGAGAAGATTCCAAAAGAATACCCTGAGATTCAGACTAATTACTCCAGTATTTCTCATCCTACAATCCTCAGATTACTTGCATCAGAATAACCTATGCAGTGTGTTTTAGAATACTACTGATTCTTGATCCCTACTGAAGACCTACTGACTCAATCTGTAGTATTGGAGCTGAGAAATTTGTTTAATTTTTTTTTTAATTTAGTTTTAAATTTTATTTATTGGCCATGCCATATGACTTGTGGGATCTTAGCTCTCAGATCAGGGATTGAACCCAAGTCCCCTTCATTGGAAGCACAGAGTCCTAACCCCTGGGCCACCAGGGAAGCCCTGAAATCAGTAGTTTAGCAAGTGATTCTTACGTATAGTAAAGGATAAGGACAACTGGTCTAATATAGTAGAGTAAAATAGCATTTGGGGGATTTTACCAGCCTGCATATATCAATATTCCCTTTAAGTTTATGGCATATCCCTAAAAACCTATGATGGTAGAAACAAATCAAATTAATTTAAAAAACAAAAACATTTACTGAATGTGTATTTGGTATTCCCTCGAATTTAATAGTTCTTCTGAAAATCATTCAAAAACCACCAGACTGAAACATATAAAATTACTGTTTCTGTAGGCTAAAATTGGTGAAATAGTAGTAATATCTATACAATAATATACAAATATTTTCAAATCTTTTTGGAAACCATTAAAAGATAAGTGAGGGCACAAGCAAAATAACCACTCAACACAAATACTTACAAAATACTCATCACCACAACAAGGGCGGTGTTATAGCTTTCAATTTCCTTTTTCTTTCCTGCAAATTACAAAAACAGAAGGCTACCTGAGATTCAGGGTTGTGATTACAACTGGTAAAAGTTTAACTTCATTTGAAAAATACTGGAGAATAAATTTGTAAAATTATTTGTAAAGACACAGTGAGTTAGGGTGAATTCCCTGCACCCTTCTTTGACTTCTGATATTCTAAGTAATATTAAACAAATCTACAAAAAGAAACCTTATATCAGTTCTGCAAATTTGACCTATATTACAAATTAATTTGTTCTAAAATTAAATAAGCAATTCAACATATCATGAATGATCTCTAAGTTTCATCTCTGCAAATATTTGAGCTAGTTCTATGTATATAATGCTTTGCTCCTTAAAAAAAACTTTTTTTAAATCATCCTCCCCTGTTTTCTGTTGCCCAAATTTTGTTGCCAAATCCCAAAATTAAATAACCATTAGGTTTAAATGGTAGAAAAATATATTCACACTAAGGTGTTGGAGAAGACTCTTGAGAGGAGATCCAAGCAGTCCATCCTAAAGAAAATCAGTCCTGAATGGAAGGACTGATGCTGAAGCTGATACTCCAATACTTTGGCCACTTGATGTGAAGAACTGACTCATTTGAAAAGACCCTGATGCTGGGAAAGATTGAAAGTGGGAGGAGAAGGGGACGACAGAGGATGAGATGGTTGGATGGCATCACCGACTCTATGAACATGAGTTGAGTAAGCTCCAGGAGTTGGTGATGAACAGGGAAGAATGGTGTGCTGCAGTCCATGGGGTCACAAAGAGTTGGACACGACTGAGTGACTGAACTGAACTGAACTGAAGATATAAGCCTTAGAATAGGATCTGATAATGTAGAAGGTTGAGGATGTATGACAGCTTCTTATTTCTGAGAGGGAGGGTGTTAGAGTTAGTAGAGACAAGATGTCTTCAAAATTAAATTCAGAGATAATAAAAGTCAAATTCTATCTCTGCAATTTTACTGAGCTGGCCCTGACAGTATATAAGGATTAAAAGCATACAATCATTGTAGTAGATTCAAAGGTAGAAATCAAATGTCTATAAATGCCTGGCAGGAAATTAATGAATGAAGCATCCCTCAGTGGGTGAGAGTGATGGGGACCGGTGACCTGGCAAAAGTACACACTCGGTTACATGAGGCAGGGACTGCTAAGCTCCAACTGATCGATTGCTGCTCTGAAGGCATGTGGGCCCAGGGCTGTCAGATCTGAGTTTTTATATAAAAATGTCCAGTTTTTAAAATACCATGTAGGTCCAGTACAGTACTTCTATTGGCCACACGCCTGCCATTTTGCAACTGCTCCTTTATATTTATATATTACTCAGAGTTTGACAAATATTATCAGAAAAGAAGAGAAAAGGAGCCCTCCTAACTGACCTGTCTTATAAACAAGAGGCATACTCTGCTTCATATAAGTAAACCTGTAAAGAAAAAAAGAGCTTTCATTTTTGTTTACCAGATAACAGCTACCTGTAATATCCCCTTTGGCCTCTAAACTCGTATCTCCAGAAGAACGCTGAGAAGAAAGTTTAGGAGCTGTTTCTGCTATTCTGTTGAATGTTCGCCTTCTCCTTCGCAGGCCAGTAAGTTTTCCAGGGTCTTCCATGGACTGATTTACCATAGATTCTTCCATTAACAAATCTGATTCTAAATAAAAATAATCTTTAGATAGTGGAGAAATCTCAGCTATAAGATACAGAAAGCTTGGTTGTTGTTTTGTTCTCAGTTTGCTTTTTTTTTAAGCCTCGGTAACTTTTACTTAATAGTTTTACTTAATAGTTAAGCCTTGGTAACTATCACTCAGGTTTCTTATGGCATAGATTCAAACTTTACTCTTAATGAAAAGTTATGGACTGTAGGGATCCCATAACGAGGCTTCATTATTCTGCAAAGAATGAACTGTATTAATTAATGATGGGAACCATCAGAACAGATTTGCCATGTGCCATATTAAATATTAATGTAAAGATTTCAGTTATGGAAACAACATGCTACCCACTTACATTGGGTCCCTAGAAAGATTTCCAAGATAGATTATAGTACTTGATCATCAATCTCAAAAGAAGCAGCAGCATACAATAGTTCTAATTTACAATGAAAGCTTGCAAAAAAAGGAAGCACTGGTAAAGAAACTCTGCAAACAACCTAAAAACTTTGCTTTTCTCAATTGTTTTAACCTTTCCCTTTACCAGATTTTTCATTAGAAGTTCATTATCTACCAGCCAAACTTATCTTTGGGTTTCTCTTTCCTTGCTCGTAATTTGGAGTTTAATAATAAAACAGCCAGTGAGAAAGCAAGGAAAATAAATAACCAGCAAGCTGGCTAGTGAAGCCTTAAATTACCCTAAGGTTATTGGCCACCACCTTTTCTTTAACTAAATTAATTACATTCATGTATGTGTGTATGTGTGTGTGCGTGTGTGTATTACATATATATATGTATATATATGTATGATATATATATATGATATGTATGATATATATATATATATATCATATATATATATGTTTTTTCTTCATGTACATTTTAAGGAATATCCAAACAGAACAACTACATCACTTCCCCTCCACCACCTCCACCAAATCCATACATGTACGTGGTCCCATGGCTAAGTGGGCCTGTGTAAACCCAGGAGAGCTACGTCGGTAAGGGAGGTATGGACCTGAGGACTCTCCAGACATTCTTTGTGAGCACAGTGCATGTTTATGATCAGGTCCCAGCCCCTCACTGCAGTCAGCTTCCTTGGCTCCTTGCAGAGGAAGGGAGTGTGACAGCTCCTAACTGTGTGATCCTGGAAAAGCCACTTAACCTCTCTCTCTCTGTTTTGGTATTTCTTCTTTAGTAAAATGGGGAAAAAAGTTATAGGTTTGCAATGAGTTAATATTTATAAAACACATAGGGCAACATCTGACATATCATAAGCATTATATAAGTGTTTGGTAGATCAGTGAAAATTAGAAGTTTTTAAATTTTAAGTGTAACAGTTAGAACCACTTCAGTAAGTCATTCCAATGCCATCTACCAGTTCCTACTATGAATCCAATTGAAGAATCCACCCATTCTGTTAATAAATGCCATCCTTACAAAAATAGATAAATCAAGAAATTTACAAACCAAGCTGTTTGAAATAATCTGCCAGCGAACTCCAGGAATTCTTCTCAATTAAAGATTTGACAATAGCCCACGGTTGTTTTTTGTATTTCAAATCTGTTGAAACTCTAATGAAAAGGAAGAAAGAATAATATTTAATTTACAAGATTTAATCACATTATGAACGTTGTAGTTAAATGTAGGAATGAATTCAGTGGAAAGCCAAAAGGATGTAAAGTCACTTAGACTACCAAAAAAAAAAAAATTGTTCACTGAAAATGAATTCTTTAAAAAAATTACTTGGAGCTGCTAATAATTTCATCAATTTGGCATTTTATTTCTTTGCTTTCTCAAACTCTGAATTTTCTTTATTTAAATAGTAATAAAGGCTCAAAATAAATTAAATTTCCTAAATGCCTTGTATAAAAAATCTCTAGTGGTCATACCTTAGCTGAAAGTCACTACACTAGCTGAGACTAGGGCAAGTGCATGATGAGCCCAGCACCACCTTCAACACAATGACATTTCTGGTCTCTCACTACAATAGAGCTGTTTACTGCCCACCACTCGCTCCTCAAATCTCCCAGCCCCCTTGCCGTTAAACAGGGTCCTGGGACCATTCTGGCCACTGGACTGTGAGCACAACTCTATAGCTCTCTCTCTCTTCTGGTAGTAGCTGAAATGATACATATTCTGGATTATGCAGCCCCAAATGTCAAAGCCCCATCAGCCTGGGTTCTTTAGTGAGGCTTCCTACCCTTCTGCTGACCACCAGTGGACAGGCAAAGCAAGAAATAAAGTTTTGTTGTGTAAAACTGCAACTAAGATTTCAGGATTGATACGTTGCCGGCATACAATGTAGCCTGTCCTGACTAAAACACTCGTTTACAGTAGCTTACCTCAGTCGGCATTTCTGCTTTGAAGATTGGATGATACAGTATCTGTTGAGAGTATAGAAGTAATCATGGTAGGGGACATCGTGTGTGAGCACTTCTGCATCTACCAAATAAAACTGTGCTTTCCGACTTTCTTTATACAGTCTCTGCCAAAATAAGATGAAATTTTTTTGCATGTATATGTTTAATACATCAAATTCCCTGCCAACTTAAGAACATGTATACCAGAATTCCTTCTCACAAATTACAAAAAACATGAGGAGCCTATATACAAAGCCAGAAGGGCCTCCACATTGCTATGTAATCTACAGATTGAGAAGAAGGGATGTGCAGAAATAGTATTTGCTGCCTCTCTGTTATTTCATTGTATAATTTTTTTTACCTTCATTTTAGGCATGCATAAGAGAAAGGAACTACATGATCTCTCATCTGTGTTAGCAGTTTATTAAGAATTTCAAATGTTCCTGGTAGAGGAACAATTCAAAAATCAATTGAACAAAGCCAGGACCCAACCCTAAAATTCATTAAAGTTTAATAAAAACCACTCTTCACCAGAAAAATAAAGGAAAGGGACAACCAGACAAAACACTGCTTTCCTTAAATAGGCTTTGAAGTGGTTGCTGGCCAAATCTTTCTCATTTTAACCTTACCTATTCTATTTATCCTCTAAAGTTATCAAAGACTCACAAATACCAAAAAAAAAAAAAAAAACACTTCTCTTAAGTGTCTGGAAATCTTTGGAAGAGAAAATTTTAAGTTCTTTTGAACACTGATGGACAAAACCTATGATAGCAAAACTAATTCAGATATTAACAGATATTTTTCTAACTCTGTAGAACAGATATACTATACAGATATACAGTACTTCAACAAAACTGGCCAAACATAAACCACAGTATATGACAGTGCCATGCTGGTCACAGAGTAGACAGAGCATTAAATACCTAACATTCTCTTACTCATATGTCATAGCAGCCATCTAGTTATTTGGCCCTAACCCTTGACACGATCCTGTAAATCAGATTCCAATAGTGTTCTGTTTTTTAAAAAACACTTATCATGAAAAAGTTCAAACATACACAAGAGTAGAAGTGAACATTACACAATGAACCCTCATCAGCTCATCAACCAGCTTCAATATTAACTCACAGCCAGTCCTGTTTCATCTGTATCTCTCCCCACATTCCTTCCCTCCACCTTCATCTTCTGCCTAGCTACTTTTAAAAGATATCCTAACCACCAATATAATTTCATCCAAAAATACATCAGTATATTTCTTTATCAATTGCTCAGTAGTGGTGGTGGTTTAGTCAGTTGTGTCTGATTCTTGTGACCCCATGGACTGTAGCCTGCCAGGTTCCTCTGTCCTTGGGATTTCCCAGGCAAGAATCCTGGAGTGGGCTGCCATTTCCTTCTCCAGGGGATCTTCCCAACACAAGTATCGAAACCACGTCTTCTGCATTGTAGGTGGATTCTTTACCACTGAGTCACCAACAAATTCCCTAAAATTCCTCAGTATATCCCTTTAAAAGATAAATACTCTTTGCTTTAAAATATAACAACTATACCATTACAGAATATAGAAATGAACAATTCCTTAAATCTCAGAAAAGCCTTTTTACAGTTGGCTTGTCTGAATTAGGATTGGGTTGATTTGTTTATGTGCCTCTTAAACTCTTTTAACCTGTAAACAGTCTTGTAATTGGTGACTAGGACCTATGACAGGCATCTTTTCTCTTTCTACACACATGGTTCTTTTGGAATACTGGCAGCATAGACATACCTGCTTTTCAGTGGCTGTGGTACACTTTCCAGTTAGTGGATTGTTAAGGACTATAGTGTAAGTCATGGTTCTCAGCTGGTCACCTCCAGGTTCCACATTCCAGGGGGTAGATACTACATCTAATCACAGCAAAAAAGAATTAGTTAAAAGAGTTAGTTCTAGAAATTTGAAGGGTACGGCTTGTAATGGAATTAAAGAGAGAGTTTTTGAACTATTTAAATTTTTATCTGTGACCAGTTCTAACTTCCTTATAACTGTATTATTCATTTAATATTAAAGAAGAGTAAAGTCACATCAGGCACTCTTCTTGCATGTGACATACACCTCATCTCTGATCCATTTACTTCTAAATTGTTGGCTATTAAAATATTTTTTCCTTTCTCTAGAAGATAAAATTAAAAGCGTATCATCAGTGGGCTTCTTTTTAAAGTTCCCAGTACCTACAAAGAGAAGTAATGGTGTCCACTTAGCAGAGACAGAACATTTCAACACTCCCATCATCAAGGACAAGACCGTGAAAGACATTTGTCCTTAATGTAGCAATATGATCTGATCTCAACTTGTGGAGAAATCATATCAATGAGAAATTATACAATGTTAATGGCTTCTCTGCCAAGATCTTTAATCAAGAAGGGGGCAATGGAATATAAATAAACTATATAACCTTTTCTATATGAAGAAAACTCTATAAAAAATCTACCTTTATGCAAGATTTTGTAAAAATTCTCTTTCTTTTGCTTAGCAACAATACAATGAGCAAAAAATATACTTAGCACAGAAATACTGTGGTATTGGAGAAGACTCTTGAGAGTCCCTTGGACTGCAAGGAGATCAAACCAGTCAATCCTAAAGGAAATCAGTCCTGAATATTCATTAGAAGGATTGATGCTGAAGCTGAATCTCCAATACTTTGGCCACCTGATACAAAGAACTGACTCATTTGAAAAGACCCTGATGCTCGGAAAGATTGAAGGTGGGAGGAGAAGGGAATGACAGAGGATGAGATGGCTGGATGGCATCACCAACTCTATGAACATGAGTTTGAGTAAGCTCCAGGAATTGATGATAGACAGGGAAGCCTGGAATGCTGCAATCCACGGGGTTGCAAAGAGTCAGACACAACTGAGCGTCTGAACTGAACTGAACATCTTTAGAACATAGCACCATATAACAAAGTTCATTTAACAAGCTAACACTAGGAAAATATAGGTAAAAGCATTATGAACTCTATTCAAAGATCTGACTAAGTCACCTAGCACAACTGTTGTTGTTGTTATTTAGTTGTTAAGTCGTATCTGACTCCTTGTGACCCCATGGACTGTAGCTTGCCAGGTGCTTCTGTCCATGGGATTCCTCTGATAAGAATACTGGAATGGGTTGCCATTTCCTTCTCCAGGGGATCTTTCTGACCCAGGGATCAAACCCAGGTCTCCTGCATTGTAAGCAGACTCTGAGCCACGTGGGAAGCCCTACCTAGCACAATGGACTTAGGCAATTAGTATATCTGGCTTCTGCGCATCATTATCCTAAAACAGAAGCCTTCATCTAACCTATTACCCATCATCAAAGGAAAGGAAACAAGGCTTTATTATATATTCAATTTTATTTAACTTCTTTCAGTCAGCTAAGCCTAGGGATTTAATGAGGGATCCTGAAGCTGCCTGTTGCTTATCTTTTGCAGAAAAATTTCACAAGTAAATTAAGCAGGCATCATCTCAAATCATGGGATCTATAATACAGAATTTGTTTTAAAAAATGATTTATTTAGGTGTACAAGAGATATAATATTAATTATAAAATACTTTGTAAAATATCACTTTGGTCATATGTCAGCCTCTTTCAGAAAAATTATACAAATAGTTCACTGTTAACCAGTGACTAAATTTAAAGATATCATTGAATTCTGCCATTAAAACTGCACAGTATTCCACAAAGATAAAAGTCTCTCCTTCACTTGTATTTTCATCAGTGTTACCAACAAGCTTATTGAGTATCACGTGCCAGAATGTAACAACATTTTGGAATAGTCAAGCCCCCAATACCTAAGTAAAGTTCATCATAATATAAAGAACAGATGAAGTTATAAGAAAAAATGGCAACAGTATACAGAAAGACATATGAGGCATTTTGATACAATAAATTGAAGTAATCAAAAGCAAAAATTGCAAAGTAAATAATTCAAGAAACCTTTGATGTAATAAAATTTTAAAACCGGTGAATCTTCACATCCACTAGGATAACTATAATCACAAAAACCTGAAAATAAGAGGTTGGCTAGATATGGAGAAATTGGAACCTTTCCGCAGTGCTGGTGGGAAAGTAAAATGATGCAGCCACTGTGGAAAACAATATGGCAGTTCTTCAAAAAATTAAACATAGAATTACCTTATGATCCATTTCTACTTCTAGGTATCACCCAAAGGAACCAAGAGCAGGGATTCAAACAGATACTTGTATATCAGTGTTCACAGCAACAGCATCCACAATAACTAAAAAGTGGAAATAACTCAAAACTCCACTGATAAGGGGGTAGGTATATAAAATTCGGCATAAACATACAATGGCTTAGCATTTATTCTTTAAAAGGAATGAGATGAAACCCATAGTGCAATATGGAAAAACCTTGAAGACATTATGCTAAGTGAAATAAGCAGTCACAAAGAAACAAATATTGTAATGGTTCCACTTACATGAAGTAGCTATCATAGTAACTGTGGTATTGGAGAAGACTCTTGAGAGTCCCTTGGACTGCAAGGAGATCAAACAAGTCAATCCTAAAGGAAATCAATCCTGAAAATTCATTGGAGGGACTGATGCTTAGGCTGAAGCTCTAATACTTTGGCCACCTGGTACAAAGAACTGACCCATTAGAAAAGACCCTGATGCTGGTAAAGATTGAAGGCAAGAGAAGGGGATGATAGAGGATGAGATGGCTGGATGGCATTACCGACTCAATGGGCATGAGTTTGAGCAAGCTCCGGGAGACAGTGAAGGACAGGGAAGCCTGGTGTGCTGCAGTCCATGGAGTCCCAAAGAGTCAGACACAACTGCGTGACTGAACAACAAAAGCATAGTGAAATTCATAGAGGCAGAAAGTAGAATGGTGTTCATCAGGAGATGGGGAGAGGGGAAAATGGAGAGTTACTGTTTACCAGGGACAGAGTTTCAGTTTGGGGAAGATGAAAAGTTCCAGAGATGGTAATGGGTACACAACAATGTGAATGTACTTCATGCCAGTGAATTGTACACTTTAAAATTATTAAAATGGTAAGTTTTATGTTATATGCAGAAATAATACCACAATAAAAAAGACTGGTTAATGTAGGTGATGGGTAGGTTTCATTATACTATTCATGCAACTCTTCTAAAGATTTTCATCTTTTCAAAATTAGAAAGTTGAATAAAAAGACTTAAAACTGAGCTTTACATTATAAAAATAGTGTCCTATAACCATAAACAAAGATTTTAAAGAATTCAAATTAAATGATTTTTATTAAAAACTATTAAGAATAATGATGATTATTAATATAATTATCATTATTCTTAATAATTTAAAATAAATTTTAATTATAAAAAAATAGATCCAGAAGTAGCTGTTTTAGTGCTGAAATTAGGTTAAATCCACAAATAACTGACCATACTATATTTTCCCATTAAACTCTTAATAGTTTAAAAAGAAGCCTTTGAAACCTGTTCTTAAGAAATGCAACTTTGATTACCAGATAACAAATTCAGAAGACAATAGAATAGTGTGCCATCATAAGCAGATTATCTCTTTGGGGGCAAACCTTCTGACTAATTCTAGGTCTAATGGCAACATGCCTATAACTATTTATCCTTGTGATAAGCCAGAAGCCTTTGTTTCCCAAAGTCATTTCTAGCATCAGATGGCAAACACAGTCATCCATACTGAAGCTAGATATGATATGAGACACCAAATGCAGTTGTGATTAAAAAAAAAAAAACCTTCATTTTGTACCAGCGTGGAATAACATAGCTAGTTTCCTCTGGGTCTTTCCAGCCATAAAAATGGCAGTGCAACATCAACAGGCATCATCTTAGAAAATTAAGAGATATAAAATATCCAGCTCTTCTGGAAGGGCAGATTCTCCAGGCAGACATGAATAGCAAGAAGATACAAAATAGATTCAGAACAGATACAATGTTAAACACGAGCTACTGAGTGAAAAGAAAGATTTATATTCCTCAGGTATTATACATTTTTAAAACTGGAAGAACAGGAAAAAATTAATGATTTTTAAAAACAGGACATTTAATATAATCACAAGACAATAGCTATCAATCAGAAATTGCTCTGCTACTCTACTATGAATAATAAGAAAAAATTACTTTTTTACATCTAGTCTGTATCAATGTTATAACCTATGAATATGTAATTATGTTTACATAAAAGTTTCAAATAAAGGAATAACATCTAATGGTTAATAAAATGGTTAGATTATACATTATATTTAACTTGACTCTCTTTGACTATGTCAAATGACTCAGCTCATATGGATCTCTGCCACTGGTGTTTTCTAATTTTATATAGCAAGTTAAACCATATGCTCCCAAAGTTTCTAAGATATCTTGAAATATTTAGGATAAATTCAATTTCAGGTTGGCTATATGCTTCTTTGAGATGTTTACCAAAATAGAACTTTTAACACATAATCAATAAAATCTTTTTTATAACTAACTTCCTAATTGGAATATTTTCATTAAGGTAGACCATAGGCATTGCAACCTCAAGTCTCCATGAATTTGCAGAAAAAACACACATGTGTACCACTACCAAAATCAAGATAGAGAACTTTACCAGCATCCCAGAAGCTCACTCCCAGTCTTAATCCACCCACAGCAGTCCCCACAGCAGTTGGCTACTCTGCTGCTTTTATGTCCATAAATAAGTTTTACCTCATTTTGAACTTTAAATAAAGAAATCACAGCATGTACTATTTCGTGTCTGACTTCTCTTGCTTAATACTACAGTATACCCATAAGATTTATACATATTGTTAGAAGTAGCAGCAGGTTTTTTTTTTCCATCGCCATACAGTATTCTTTTGTGTGAACATATATCTGTTTATCCATTCTATTACTGGTGGATATTTGGGCTATTTTGATTTTGGGGACCATTTTAACTAATGCTGCTATGAATACAGCAGTACATGTCTTTCAGAGTACACTGGTACCCATTTCTGAAGGTTATATGTATCTAGTAGACACCACCAAATCATTTTGCAAAGTGACTATACTAGTTCATACTCTACTAGAATCCAATTGGCTTCCTAGGCGGCACTAGTGGTAAAGAACCCATCTGCCAATGCAGGAGACACAGAGGTGCAGGTTTGATCCCTGGGTCAGGAAGATCCCTGGAGGAGGGCATGGCAACCCACTCCAGTATTCTTGCCTAGAGAATCCCATGGACAAAGGAGCCGGGCAGGCTATAGTCCATAGAGTCTCAAAGAGTCGGACACAACTGAAGCAACTTAGCACACATGCACAGAATCCAACTATTCCACAATGGAATCCTTTTAAATGGGGCTCAACCCAGTTGAACTGCCATGTTAATAAATAAATGGAGTTTTAGTTCTCAAAGGGTCTGAACTTAATAGTAGGTAAGATCTGACTAATTGAAAAATTATACTATTTACACGTGATTTTACCCGAAACACCTAAACACTAGTTTCTATATCACCAAAATAAAATCGAAGCCTGTCTAATTTTTCCACTTGACAACATAAACTCTCTAAGGATAATAAAATTCTCCCATATTTATCATTAGATAAGAACACAAGACCAACCTATTATATTTCTAGAATTAGAAAATCTTTGCATAAAGTGTGAACTGGTGAAAAGCAATTCAAACATTCTTTCAGCACTGATATGAAACACACGGTTGATATAAAGTCTTCCATGAAGGTCTTTCTCAAGAATGTTTTCTGGGGAAACAAAAAACACAGAACAAAAAGGGAAGAAATCAAAGAAAGGTAATTTCAAGGTTTCATTTTATTTATTTTTGGCACAAAATGGCTTTTAAATGTGATTACAATGATCACAGCATATTACATGACACTATTAAAACTCTAAATTGGTGTTATATACATACATAACTATACATAAAAGTATATAGTAATTAAACTATATATGATCAATAGTTCAGTTGTCAAAAACCAAGATATAGAAATATTTAATTTGCATGATATCAAACTCCCATAATGGCATATATCATTCAAAAGAACAGTTCATGAATTTCTGTGTCATCCATGTTCAGAGGCCATGCTAACCTCTGTATCGTTCCAATTTCAATATACGTGATGCCAAACCAAGCACTCAAAAAAATATTTTAAAAAAAGGAATCTTTCAAGAGTGACAAGGGATACATAGCAGGTCCTATTTCTGAATGTGCATATATATTAAGTAAATATTAGGACATGAATGGCTTTAATATCTGCAGTACTCACTATCTTACTAGTCTGAATAATGTTTCAAACTAGACTTAAAGTTCACTCCCCCAAGACAAGTATCACTATATTTACAATCTGTTCTCAATACCACACATTAAAAGAAATCCTTCTGAAAGAGAAAAATAAATATCATATATTAACACATATATATGGAATCTAGAAAGATGGTACTGATGAACCTATTTGCAGGAAAGCAATGGAGACACAGCCATAGAGAACAGACTTGTGGAAACAGTGGGGAAGGAGAGGGTGGGACAAATGGAGAGAAGAACATATACACTACCATATGTAAAATAGATAGCCAGTGGGAATTTGCTGTATGACTCAGGGAGTGCAAACTGGTGCTCTGAGATACCCTAGAGGTGTGGGATGGGGTGGGTGGTGGGAGGGCAATTCAAGAGGGAGGGGACATATGTATACCTATAACAAACTCATGTTGATGTACAGCAAAAACCATCACAATATTGTAAAGTAATTATCCTCCAATTAAAATAAATTAATTTAATAAAAAAATCCTTCTGATAAGTATTCTTCAAGGTTAAATAAAGCCCAATGGAATACTATATTTTTTCTAAGAACCTGACAGCAATGTTGAAAACTCCTTTGTAGAAAATAAAGAAGCAACACCTGCTTACCTCTCCTCATATTCCCTGGAAACACTACATGAAATAGCCCATGCATTTATGATGTTACCATATGTCAGGTATTGTGCTAAGCAACTTAGAAGTATTTACACATATTCTCACAGCAATCCTGTGAAGCAAGAGCTATTCACATCTTCATCTCCACTGTATAGATGAGGAAACTGTAGCACTCAGAGAATTGCCAAAGCTCCATGGCTAGTCAGTGACTGAACTGGAATCTGAAATCACTCTAGCTCCAGAACACACAAACTTAACCCTATTTTATAGTGCAAGGAACTTAACTCAGAAGAATCTAAAGGAAATGGCGGGGCTGGAGGACATCTAGGAACAGGAGTCTGGTAGAATAAAGGAAATAGAGAAAAGCAATCCAATTGAAATTTTAATGATTTCAGGACTGGGGTTATTTATTATTTCACAGATTATGCCCATCATTACAGAATGAAAACTGTGACAAAAGCTCCCCATAGCTCACAAATCAAGTTCTAAGAATTATGTGTTGAGCATCTGTCCACATTAAGCCATGGGAAGCAGTCAAAGAAAAAGGCAGTGGTCTAAGAAGCAGGAAAGAAAAATCCCTTCAGCTCTGCCTTCACTCCAGCTACTCCTCATGAAATGGTCTGTCTCCCTGTTTTGTTATAGGTGCAGAGAAGTTAGGGATAGTGGGTAGATATCAATTTACCTCCTCCCTGAAACAACACTATGTGTAGACAAAAGCATATACATGTTAGGCACTGCAATCTCAAGTAATGGCTCCTTTGGTATAGAAATTAATCACTCGAACTAGGCAATTTACTAAGGTTCTGTGAGGTAACTTCCCAATTAGGCTTGAGAAATAGCTTTTTCTGACACAGAAGTAATATATGTTCATTAGGACTTCCCTGATAGCTCAGTTGGTAAAGAATCAGCGTGCAATGCAGGAGACCCTGGTTCGATTCCTGGGTCGGGAAGATCCACTGGAAAATGGATAGGCTACCCACTTCAGTATTCTTGGGCTTCCCAGGTGGCTCAGTTGGTAAAGAATCCACCTGCAATGAGAGAGACCTTGCTTTGATCCCTGGGTTGGGACGATCCCCTGGAGAAGGGAAAGGCTACCCACTCCAGTATTCTCACCTGGAGAATTCCATGGGTTGTATAGTCCATAGGGTCTCAAAGACTTGGACACAACTGAGTGACTTTCACTTTAACTTTCATGTTCATTGTAAAAATAATTCATATATTCACAAGAAAGCAAACAAGTATAGGTATTCTACGTATCCTGATCATCACCTTCACAGAACTTATCCTTGTAATTATATTTTTACTGACTTAGTGCCTTTTTATTGCCTCTTTCCTGCACTAGATCCTAAGTTCTATGTGAGCAGGGATGATGTTGATTTCAAACACCTAAGTACATTACGAGTTTGGCACATAAGTGTTATATAGCCATTTTTGAATGAAATAGGTGACTATGGTAAGTGAAGTTGCTCAATTGTGTCCGACTCTTTGTGAACCCATGGACTGTAGTCTACCAGGCTCCTCAGTCCATGGAATTTTCCAGGGACGAGTACTGGAGTGGGTTGCCATATTTTTGCAATGATGTTTTTTTAATAATTTTAGAGGGACTATTAACTAAACTAGACTTTATTCCTATTTTTTCCAGTAATGTCTTTTTCTGTACAAGAATCCAGCCCAAGATACCATGTTTGTACTTAGTTGTTATCATCCTAGTCTCCTCCAATCTATGACAGTCCCTTGCGTTTTTCTTCTTTTTCAATGACCTAATACATTTGAAAGTACAGGACAGGTATTAAGTAGAATGTCCCCCAATTTGGGTTCACCTGAGGTTTTTTTCATGATTAGATCAGGGTTTGGATTTGGGGGACAAATACCACAGAGGTGAAGTACCCTTCTCCTCAAACTCAGGGGGTACACATAACAGCATGGTGATATTAACCTTGATCAATTGGTCAAGGTGGTATCTGGCAGGCTTTTCCACTTTAAAGGTATTATTTTCCTCATTCCATATTCTATTCTTTAGAAGTTCAACCCATCTCAAGGGAAGAATTCAGCTCCACCTCCTGGAAGGGAAAAGATCTACATATATTATTTACCTATATTATTTGGAGCTCTGTAAGGAAGACTTCTGCTTTCTCCCCCATTCATACATTTATTCAACCACTGGTATCAGGATGGACTTACAAAGTCAGTTTATACTTTAGGTTATAATCCAGTACTATCATTATTTATTTTGCTGCTCACACTTATTTTTTGTTTGGCCATTAGAAGCTCTTTCAGGTTGATGCCTATGACCTTTTGACATGCCTCTTTTTTCCTTTTTCAAGCACTTCTTTATATTCTTGCACTATATCTGGGCTCATTTTGTATATTCCCCACCCTAGCCCTTCCCAGGTGGCTCTAGTGGTAAAGAACCCACCTGCCAATGCAGGATACATAAGAGACCTGGGTTCGATCCCTGGGTCAGGAAGATCTCCTGGAGGAAGGCATGGCAACCCACTCCAGTATTCTTGCCTGGAGAATCCCCTGGACAGAGAAGCTTGGCGGGCTACAGTCCATAGGATCACAAACAGTCAGACACAACTGAAGTGCGCACCGTAACCCTAAAAGCAGCCATTTCTCTAAGGAATACTGGAACTATTATTTTTCTTTCTTTTTTTTTTCATGGTCCTTCTCAATTTCTTTTTTTTTTTCCATTTATTTTTATCAGTTGGAGGCTAATTACTTTACAGTATTGTAGTGGGTTTTGCATACATTGACATGAATCAGCCATGGAGTTACATGTATTCCCCATCCCGATCCCCCCTTGCACCTCCCTCCCCACCCCATCCCTCTGGGTTTTCCCAGTGTACCAGCCCCGAGCACTTGTCTCATGCATCCAACCTGGGCTGGTGATCTGTTTCACCCTTGATAATATACATGTTTTGATGCTGTTCTCTCAAAATATCCCACCCTCGCCTTCTCCCACAGAGTCCAAAAGTCTGTTCTGTACATCTGTGTCTCTTTTTCTGTTTTGCATATAGTGTTATCGTTATCATCTTTCTAAATTTGATATATATGCGTTAGTATACTGTATTGGTCTTTATCTTTCTGGCTTACTTCACTCTGTATAATGGGCTCCAGTTTTATCCATCTCATTAGAACTGATTCAAATGAATTCTTTTTAATGGCTGAGTAATATTCCATGGTGTATATGTACACAGTTTCCTTATCCATTCATCTGCTGATGGGCATCTAGGTTGCTTCCACGTCCTGGCTATTATAAACAGAGCTGCAATGAACATTGGAGTGCATGAGTCTCTTTCAGATCTGGTTCCTCGGTGTGTATGCCCAGAAGTGGGATTGCTGGGGAACTATTATTTTTCAAAAGTAAGTTTCCTCCCTTAAATTTCACATTTACGAAGGAAATAAATTGTATTCACATAAGTATTTCAATACAATGTCTTCATATTTCATTTAAACTCTACTGTTAGATAAAATGTTCTGTATCATGACTGATAAAAACATAACTTGTGGTATTACTACCAAAAATTAACAATAATACCTTTTGTATGCAAATTTGTTCAAGGAAGTAAGGATATGAAATAAACTATTTCCACATTATTCATTTATTAAATTCATGGTACTTTAAAGCCTCCTATCTAAATAACATCATCAATCATATTGCTGGAGCATATTAAGCTAGCAGGTGGTATTTTAAATGGAGAAAGGAACACTGCTCAACTTAGTAGCAGGTTACTATTTCCAATAAAGAATAAATACTATTTCAAATATAACAATTTGAAAGTGGCCAATGGAAAATGGTGGGAAAATTGAGACAGATAAATATAAGAAGGA